CGTTCGTGTACACACAACTTCCATTATCAAGTGTGACACTAAGTTACCTTTTAGATTTATTTAATTTACATAAGAAACAGTGTGGTAAACTTCAACCACGTAAACCGTAAGCGGATGATGCCGAATTTTAGGTAAACCTTAACTCTGAAATAAACGATAATCATCTATTATTGTTGAGGAATAATGGTAATTATGGACTTTCACTTCTTGTAATTATGCAGTTTATCAGCAAAGTTGCTCAATTAACACAGCCTTAAAAAATAAGAAAAGTCTTCAATCCCGACTTCTTTTGATGTTGCTCCTAAACCTATTTTATATCAACTTGATTGTCTTGCTGGTCCGCCCTAACAAGCCTAAGACCATTATTTAAGTAGACGGAAAGATCGAGGCACTTAATCAGTGGTAAAACTAATCATTAAGGCCTACCAATAAAAAAAAAACGCATTTTGTTCCAAATAAAATACAGTTCATGTATTTGTGGTATAACACCCTGTCTATTAGAAATCATCGAGCTGGATAATCAAGCAGGATTAGAAGACCCATCGATGTGTGAACAATGCACTAGAATACAAGGATTCGATCAATTAAGAATTTGTGCCAAACTATCGAAACAAAAACAATTCAAATCTAGTTTTTGCTGGAACTTTGAGAACCGTAATGTGATTTCAATTAGATGAAGGAAGGAAAAAGTGATAAAATAAGTAATAAAAATTTATAACGATTGAATTTGTTACAGATGGATTAATAGCGACGAAAAAATCGACTAATAGTAAATTTTAAATGTCACTGCCCACGTTACTTAATTAGAAATAAAAAAAAAGATTATAATTCAGCGTCCATTTAACTAAAAACAAATACATATTTCAAATTTCGCTTATTTAGCACAGTTTCAGTTTTAATAGCAATTGATATAACAATTAGATTTCAAATAGTTTGTCAATAAGGATTGATGCCATACTCTGTATTTTCTCTTTTGTATACAATTATTATTCTACTACAGAAACTCTTTTTTTCCAAAAATTTAGGTAATAAAAAAATAAATATCCATTTGTTATAAAAAGCAAACAGGTATTTTTGTAGGTTTGTTCAAATGCCAGCAAATTAAAAACTAGAAATTGATTTTGTCCGTATTTATTTTTTCAATAAATGGAATACTCATACCACCAGCATTTCTCGTCTATTAGATTTCTGCTTATTAGGTCAATCCGGCTTCGAACTCCACTATTGTTAATATGAACCTCGAGTTCGTTTCGGAAATTTTATTTAATTTGCTTTTTCCCCTATAAAATTATTAGCAACAGTTTCAGTGGAAAATAAATGCCATATTCGTAACTATGATTCTCTCATTAACCACTTGTTTAAAAAATGACATAATCTACAGAAAATTGTTATTTAATATATTTCCGTTATTTTGTAAACAATAACAAAAGATTTCTGCTTTCATAAATACATTTTTTGTATACGCTCCAGAAAATAGCTGTTTTTAAGTAAAACAGTTTTTCCCTACGAAAAAGTCAATTTGGTTACTATGGTGGCGAAATTTTTTTAATTAATAAGAGGTGTGAATTCATTTTTTGGGAGCTTTAACAAAAAAATGTTTGTAACGCGTACCTAAAACGTTTTTGCGGACTCATCGGCTATTCCAGAATCGGCTTCGCCTCATCCAGAAACAACGATTCGTCCGCAAAAACTTCGGTCTACAATTTTTATATTTCGTCTACTAACTAATGTAGTTTTTGAAGCTGCAAGTAGCTACAATAAAATTTTACACGACGTCAAAAACAGAAAAAAAATTGTAGAAGCGACTTAATTAAAGTTCAAATCACATTTCTCGCTAATTTCCTATCTCAATTTGAAATTTTTATTGACTAGTACTTTAATGAAAACTGCAATTTCTTTTGAATTTTTACACATAATTTTGTTGCAAAAATTCTCCAGAGTATTTTAAACAGCACCAAAACTTGTGCATAAAAGTGTTTTATTCTCCATACTACCACTATTTACGAACGCCGAGCTTTACATTATTGTTGGAAAAGTGAATAAAATAGAAACGAAACAACAAAAATGTACCATTACTCGAAGAAATGTGGGAAACGAAGTAAAAAAAATACACGCAGAGTTGGTAAATCTGTAAATGGAATGGTATAACGTAAAGCTTACGGCAAAAGACGGTAGATACAATGTTTACCTGAGTTGTTATCTACGGCGGCAAAAATTGGGTATGAGGTTTATGAAATATTCATGGAATCGGAAACAGCAAAATGATGAGAAATTTTAAAGAAAATGAGAACAATAAATTAAGTTTTGAATAATTATGACTTATCGGAATAATTTGATAACAAGTAATTTTATTTAGTATTAATACTTTGTTATTAATTTATATATTTAAAATTTTCATTCGTGACTCATTTACTAAATATGGTAGTTCTAGTAAAGATACCACTTGTTCAAATTCAATTAAAGGCGATTGGTATGCATAAATTTAATTGCTTTTTCGCAAACTTACCTTTTCAAGCTTTTTAAATGAATATTCTGAGACCGTAGACACTACCAACTCCATATTTACCCTTGTATATTTTTTGTAGTGTTAATAGGAATAAATTAAACAAAAACAAAACAACTACACAAACGTATCTCCTTTAATTAAAGATCAGAGAAAGCTTTAATTTAACTTTGTTCTATTTTAAATTCGACACATTGTTGAGGAAATATTTTTAATAAAACAACACAACGTATCTACCTAATTAAAATACTGCAATTTACTTTCTTTTTTATCAGACAAGAAAAGTATAGCATTAAAATGAAAAATTAATTGCTTCTCAATTATGCATAAAAGGAATAACCAAACCGTTAAACGGTAGTTTAGTATTAGAGCAGAACCTTTATTTTCAATCCCCAAATTATTGGAGTTTCAAAAAGTGAATTTTGTTACAACAAATCCGGAAGCGGTTAACCGCTAGAATTAAATCCGCTAAAATTAAATCCGTACCAGGCAAATAACATCATACGAAATGATTACATTTAAATACAATAAATGCAGAAAATAGTTTGATTGTAGTACTTTGCTCCAGATATTTGCTAAACTCCGCCAAACTTGAAAACTTTACCAAGTGTATTACCTAACTATAAATTTTGTAGTTATAATCACCGCTTTGAGTTACATCGTATAGCCGCCTCAAGTTGTGCCTTGGTTCCTCCATTTGTTTGCAACTAAAGTCTTCATAGTTATGAAAACAAATTTTATATTTTTGAGAATTACAATACGACTAAAGCTTAAAGAAAAATTAAAAATTTAAAGATTGTGAAAGGCGTAAAACGACTTTTTAATATGGCAATAAATCTTTATCAACTTAATTTAATGCCTTTGTTGCGTGCTTTAGTTAAATTGACCTTCTGCAACACATTGTTATTCAAGAAAAATGTATTTTACTTAATGAATTTCTTTGGTATAGTTAGATTTTGCTAATAATAATAATAAATTTTGAACATATTGTATTTATATCAAAGTAATAAATTTTAATGCCTTATTTACGTACTCTCACAAAAAGTCGTAGGAGTGGCGCTATTACTGGTGAATTAAAAGCTGATTTACTACCTTTAAAAAGGGTAATTTGAAAGCGAATTTTAATTAATAGTTTCTTCCAAAGTTCGAAGACATAATTGGAGGATATTTCAAGTCGATGAATATTCCTGACCAGTTAACTGTAAAACTGAAAACATGAAATAGCTAAATATTGTATTACATAATAGACAAAACAAGATAGACACTCCACCTACAACATTTACATATGTAGGTATTATCTAGTCTAGGAAGATAGTTTATCTTTGGTGAGTCATTTATTTTTACGTAATAATATGAATTAAGAAGAGACAGTAGCAATAATGACTCAAATAAAACACATAAAAGTAAATAAAGTGAATAATACCGTTTTTATATATTTCTTTTTCACTTAATTTGAAATTTAGGCAGAGAACGGTTCATATGTATTAGACATTCCTAATTTTTTCCTTTCTGCTCCAATAAATATAAATTGATCCGAAACACAATGCAGGCATACATAACAGTTCCTTAAAATTACATTCAAAGAAAGTGAAACACTTTGATTAAACTTTTTGTAAATAAACATCCCTATCGGCTTCACGCAAATTTTTAGGATTACTGCAGTGGATATTTTTAAAAACATTAGGTATCAAGTTTTATTAACGTTTTGATGCTTTTAATTTAAATATGAAACAAAAATTAACTAACGATAACTTTTAGATAATTTATTAGTTTTCATATTTGTACTAATTATTTAGTATACTTAATTGTTTATTTATCAAAAGCGTATAGTCCTCAAAGATAAAGTACTCAAGGTAACTTAAGTGAGTCGATGTAATTAGTTATATTTGAAGAAAGATAATAATGAAATGCATAATAATTCAAGTAACTACATAAATGTAAATAGGTTTTTATTCTTAATACTCACAATAATTTGTTGAAAATTATATATTGTTCAAAGAGTAACACCATCTAGCATATTTTTAAAAATATGTTTATAGTTGTATAACAATAATAAAATCCAACAAAAATTAATTGATTCACTCATTATTGACTATTTTAACTTCCATCAGTTTGGTTTAATTTACTCCGCTCCTTTTCCTCTCGTAAAAAAAAAACAAGATCAACAATAAACCGATGCTAATTGGCGTGTTTAGTGTATTGTTACTTTCAATTATGTTGAAGATGACCTCCGTTCTTCCTTTCTTATTCGACCGCAACAACAGTAAAAGTGTACACACGACTCCGTTGCGCTTCCTTTTGCTCTTAACCAGCTTTTTTAATTCTTTCAAACTTACTATTTGAACACGTATGAATTACAGTTCAACTAACTAAAATTCCCGTTACACTTATTAAAATTCATGGGGGATCATCTTCAGAGTAAGCACGCCGAATGTAACACGCGGATCAGGCAAACAAATAATAAACCATAACATTGAATGTAAAAGTCGTGACTTACCTAAGACTCAGATAGTTTTCTTGTTCTTCAGCAAAAGAATGGAATTTTTTTAAAAGTTCGTGGAATTTGACAAGTGCCGAATGAGCACACGTACGTCGAGGTTAACTTTGGCGAACATATCACCTTCGTCAGAAGCTTTTGCCAAACTGACCGAACTGCAAGGAACTGACAGTAAATGAAAGCAAAATGACAGAAAATAACAAACGACACGTGCGCCACTACTGGCAAACTCTTGAAACTGAGTAAAGAAAACTGCACTAATAACAAAAAAAATATACACTCCTCTTCTATCCTATAAAAAGTAAAGACGGGTTCAGTTTCAAAAAAACTGGAGTATTTGGGTAACAGTTTATTAATAATATTACATTTTATTGTATGTCATCATCTTCTCAGAAAACTTACGCCTGCAAAAACAACAAAAATGCTTACAACTGTGCTCATCAATCAAATTGTGACACAACATGCAAAAAAAAACAAAAATAAAAAATTACTCTTTATTGTGAAAATAAAACTAATACAAAATGTATTTTACATGATGCTTATGTACATTAATAGTTTAGTGTTGAATGTATAACAAACGAGTTGCATAAGTAACTACTATTGACACAAAAACTCAACAGTAAACAAGAAGAAAAATAACCTAAATGCAATACTAATCCTGTGAAATATTCTATAAAATTCTTTTAGTATCACAGCACAAGTTTGAAAGTGAAAACTAAAACTTTCAATTAAAAAGGAAAACATACAAAGCACTTTCTTTATATTACATAAAAAAACTTCACTTCTTCATAAATCTACTTACTTGTTCCGTACTGGAAGTTTGTGTCGTTCCTTGTTGTACATTTGAAGTCGGTTGAACAGTTACTGCGACAATCGATGCCCCACTTTGCAACCTTACAGGACTTCCTTGCCTAACAACGGTCTGATTTTGAAGCGCCGCTGAAACTTGTGATAACAACTGCGCTTGCGTACTGCCTTGTCCTTGTACTTTGATGCCCGCCAAAGCCCCGGCGAGAGTCGACGAGCTTTGGGGGCGAAGCGCCGAATTTAAAGCTTGCGAAGTTGCCGCAACAACCTATAAAAAAACAAATGAACATCAAACGTGACTTAAGAGTGACAATACCGACCTGTATTGTCTGTTTAGTCCCTTGTGATGTATTGACAGGAATCACTCTTGGTGTTCCTTTAGCCAATACGACAGGTCCTCGAGTAATACCAAGTGGCGCCCTCATCACTTGTGTAAACTGTTGAACTGTCATTGCAGTTGACAGTGGTTTCGGTCCCACAATCAACTGAGTCTGGACGTTATTTTTGCCACCAACTTGGGCAATGTTCAATTTTTGCGTCCCTAATTTCTTGTGAGCTAGAAGTTGTTGCTGGATTTGGAATTGTCTAATTTGTTGAGTATTAGCAGCCTTGATGGTTGGAGTGACAGTTTTGCCGCTATTTGCTATAGTCACTCCAGACACTGGAATTGTCACAGTTTGCGTTACTAAAAAGTTATAATTACCCTCAAAATCTTCAAATTTAAATAAAAATTACCTCCACCAGTATTAGAAACAGCCTTGACCAATGTTGCAACTTGTGTTCCTGACGTCCCGGCCTGTTGCACAGCCTGAGCCAAAACTTGCGACGACAAACCTTGAATATTCGAAGCCTGACTCCCCGTAGCCACAGCCGCAGTGATCGTCTTTTGTTGCTGTTGCTTCTTCAACAGCTGAGTCACTTCACTTTCAGTCACCGTCCTGGTTATTCCTGCTTTAGTCCCCACAGTGACCGTTCCTTGTCTCACAAATTGAGCCCTCGGTTGTGCCTGCGTAAACTGAACCACGGCCTGTTGTCCACTTATCGTAACCGTAGAGTTTTTGACGGCTTGTCCCGAAATCGTTCCCGACTGTAATCTCACGTGTGGTTTAAACGTACCGGCTTGTTTGATTAATTGCAATTGTGCCGAACTGATCGATTTTGCTTGAATTGCGGTCGGTGTGCCTTCTGTTTTGGTTTGACCGGGAGAACTACCGGAAACTATTAACCGTTGAGTGGCAGCTTGTAATTGGGCTGGACTTAAACCGGCCACGGAAACCACAGTAGAGGCTTGGAGAGGAGAAGTGATAATTCGCTGTGACCGGATAGTATCTGGAAATTGCATAAATAAAATATGGTTTGTGGTGGTTGATTGTAACGTACTTGGAGGTGTTGCTGGGGCACTGGAAACAGTGGTTGTAATACTGGTTACAACGTTGATGGTCTGAGCGATAGTCACTTGAGATTGTGTCGCCGTTGTTACAGCAGTTCCGCTTGAAACAGCCACAACTTGGGGTAATGTCGTCGAGGTGCTGGCTTGCGACAAAGGCAACAAACCTTTAAAAATAATGTTAGGATTATCTCATGAGCTCATTTTTGCTTATATTTTTTTTTAATTACCCTTCATCATCTGAAACCTGGCCAATTGTTGTTCGGCCGTCAACGGTTTCTTCTCCCTTGCCAATCTTTCGGCCCTCCTAGCCGCTACCTCCACCGGCAAAACCGGATGATCCAAATCAATCCCACATTCCGTCAGCATAGCGGTATGTTTCGGATTCTTCAATGACGGATTATTACTAACACTCCTCTGCGGTGGCGCCCTCTTATTCGAGATCGTTTTAAGGGCGTCGTACCTTTGAAGCATAATTTGCGAAAATTTCGAATTATTATCTTGAGTGTATAACTGAGAGGTACGCATCGGCCGATTCGATTTCTGCTGAAAGGAAAACTTCTGCATAGATCCGCTTTTGTTTTTCTTTTTCCGTACTGAATTATCAAAAACTTGTTTTCCTTCCTCTCTCTGTATGAGCACAGTTTCATATCGCTGACGGCACTGTTTAGGCGAGCGGTATGTTATCGAGACAGTATTAACATAATCGGAGACGAAATCCCAATTTGGCGTATGACCTGGCGAAGCGACGAGCAAATTTAGCGGTAAGCCTTGAAACGATTGGATTACTTTCAACAATGCCATGTCTTCATGGACCGTCCAATCGTGCCATAAGGGGGTTTCGATAGCGGGTTTAGGCACGTTGGTCTTGCCAGATATGGGTAATGTGTTACGCATTAATCCACGATACTTTTGAAGTTTAAGATCACGTTTCATTTTTAAACTTGTGGCTGAATGGAAGAGTGATTTGGGTGCGTTCATCGATTCTTCCTTCCGAGGAATTTTCAAAGCACGGCGACTGTCAACAAAACCAGCATCGTGACGAGTCCTTTTCGCTTCTTTTTTAACATAAATTGGAGGTAATTGCGACTCGGACATTATGTTCATGTCGTAAAGAAATGACATCGTTTGATCTATGTAGATGTCCGTGTCTTGTTGGGGCGGTGTGGGCGGACACCACATCTACAAATTATGAACTGTTTAGAATACCAGTGCAAGAACAATAATAATGAATAAGAATTATATTTTTTGAAAAGTAGTTATAAAAAATCAACTTACAGGCATTTGTTCCATGGTATTATCAGAAACCCAGATCTGTAAAACAGGATAAGAAAGACATAATTTAAACGCGAATTATCTAAGCTAATGAAAAATAATAACGTCAGGTAGGGTAAAATGTAAAATACAGGATTAGACAAGGATACGAACTTCAACCCTTAAAAAATTAACAGGAATTTACTGTATTCCCACTTTTTAGGTACAAAATATTTTTTGTCAACTGTCAACAATTATACCACCGAAAATAATTTTTATCGTCTAGAGATGTCCTCTGTATATCTAATTCTTCTGTTTCTTTGGTTCCAAACGATAAAAATCGCAATAAACGGATGCAAAGTACGCTTAGTCACAAAATTTTAAAAAATTATCTGAAAATGATACTGGACTGTTTCCACAAGCTGAAATAAAATTTGAGCCCAAGACGTGACTCCGTGCTAGGTTTAGGTATAACTGCGATTAGTCATTGTTTAAGACTTTTGGTAAGAATGAAAAAGTATTCTAGAAATGATTGTTACATAACTTCCTCTAGAATTTCTGTGAGTAAATAACACTAGTATCTTATGCATCTTTCTACGATATCTATTTACAACCACAAAATTCAGTCAATTGTACAAAAAACAGATTATTGTAATTTTGTATTTGGTAAGTCTGTATTTGTAACTTAGCTAATCACTTTCCCTTTTATTATAAACTTAAATTTTACGAATATGTCTCTACTCTTTTTGCTAGTTATCAGTTTATCGTCTTTCTTAATAAATACCTACCCAACATCGAAGCTTAAACCGCAAATTCTTACTACTTTCGAAGGGATTTTCGTTAAAAGGATGGGAGGATATATTGGGGTGGGTAGCGGGTTTTATAAAGAAGCCGCCTTGCTCATGTCCAGCGGGGCAGTGTTTTGGTGCCCGCTGCGGACGCCGGAGCAAGAAGGCACCAAAACCCGCGTCCACCCCGCAATGAAACACACATTCGCAAGAGAACTTCTTTATTTATTTTCATTAATGTAATGGTAATAACGAAAGCACCGAGATTCAAATAAACTCACTCGGTTTTAAATATAAAAACTAAAAAACCAAAATTTTACAATGTTGCAAGTTATGATTAAAACATTCAAGACTATCACAATTGTTTTTTCCTTCGGCATCTATTTTCTTCCAATTTTCTATGTACATGATAAAAAGAGAGTTAATTTAGATCCCTGAGCGTTTATAATTCAAATTAAACAAAAAATAATAATAAAGTCTCTAAATTGGTTTAATTTTACCGAAACAATTCGGAAAAATAATGCCAAAAGAAAAGCATTTTTACGCAAATAAGTAAAAATGATTTCTATCAAAACAACGAAATCTATATATCAAAATGTGATATTCTCTGTAATAACAAATTTCAGAAGGCTCATTCACACGTATAATTTACAATTATTCGCAATAAAAATTATTTGTAAAAAAACTATAACTCTAGATATTATGTACAAGGTAGTTATTTAAGATTTTTTCTATAATTAAATCACATATGCACATTTTTATTTCAACAGAATTGTTCTGTATTTAAACACTCATTTTATTCCGTTTTTATTATTTTACGATCAACATCTAAATCTGGATCGTTTAATTCGGCTTCTGAACTAGTCCGTTTTAATGACGAATCATTTAAATCATCACTATCTAAATTATCGATTTTTTTACTGTTTACGAACGTTTTATTAACTGGATGTGACCTCGTTACCCAATCATCCAACGTCCTATTATTCGCACGTTTCTGAAATTTTCTTTTTTTACTCAATTTCGACTTTTTCTTCGTACAATTCTTAACATCGTCGAGGCCGTTATCAATGTGAACGGAATCAGACTTATTATTCACTCGCGGAATCTCCTCGTCATTATTGTCGCTGGTTACGTCACGTGTACTGCTATCATCGACATCAGTTTCAGAAGTTCCATCGGTTTTATCATCGACCGGAATTTCAATCTGTTTATTCACTTCAGCTTCACTAGCGTCTTCCTTATTGACTAAAACTTCAGTCTGATTTGGTTCCTCATCTTTAATTTCATCAACTGAAGTGTCAGTCTCTGGATTTACTTTCTCAATTTCACACTCTTCTTCATTCTCAACTTTTTCATCTGACTCTTTCAACTCTGACTCACCCTGGGCTCCAAGTGTATACTGTCCCCCTTCCATGATATCACTCAACATCACCTTACAAATTTTCCCCTTTGGAATCAAATTATTAACAATAATTTCAGCATTATCAATTTTATTATCATCATCTCTACCTCCATCATGATTCACCTCAACCGGTTCTTCAACTTTCTTTTTAATGGCAGTTCTCTTTTTTTCCGACTTCTGTAAATCTTTGTCGATACTGTTACCTTTCAAACGTCTGACACCCGGAGTTGGTGAATTTTTTATAGGTTTTACACCTGGCAAAATCGGACTGACATCAAGCGTCCATAAATTAATTTCAACTGTACCACGCGATCTAGTTCTAGGCGAATTCGAATTGATATAATTAGTAGGAGTTTTCAAAACAATCGATCTACTATCACTTTCTGACTGATCATCAGTCTGATCATCCACACTAGAATCATCAGTATCACCGTTAAATTTCTGGACGTCTAAATCATCTGCGCTTTTAGAACATTGCGAATCATCGTCCGATTCCGTATTCGTATCCTCTTTTTTCACAACTCTCTGCCTCGTCAACCTCCGTCTGTTACAATTCCTCCTTTTCAATTTAGCTTTGGCTATACTTCGATCACTGGTATATTTATTTGGTAAGATTTTCTTTATTATTTTATTACCTCTTGGTGATTTTGCGACATTTTGCCGATTTTTCATTGCACGATTTTTATTAACAACTTTTTTCGCGGTACTAGCGTTATTAACTTTTTTAGTTTTACTAGTGCTAACCTGGTTTGTGGCGTCCTCCCGTGAAAACGTTAATAAATCGTTTTCTTCTTCTAGTTCGCGTGCTCTTCGTTCTTCTTCTTCGCGCATTGCGGCCAATCGATTTTGTTCCCATTCGCGTTTCTGTTCTTCGATTTCGCGTTCAGCAGCTGCCAGTTGTTCAGCAGACCATGCCGATTCCGTCTCTTCAATGAATTTCATAGCGTACCTCTCGATCGGAGAAAGCTACACAAAAAATTAGCAAAAAGACATCTACAAAGTTAAAAACATACCTTTTTGATGACATTGTCAATTTCCTGTTCTGCTTTACTCATCTCAGGTTCTTTTTCTTGGTCTTCTAACGGAATGTTTTCGTCGAATTCGGCTAAATCCGCCACAGCTTCAGCCTTTGCCGTTCGTGCCGCTTGAACATCCTGGTCGTCTTCACATGCAGCTAGAGCATTTTCTAAAGCTCCCAAAGCCGCTTTATCATCACCACCAGCGTGAGATTGTGATTGGTCAGCAGCAGCGGCACGTTTTTCGTGACTTTCAACAACTTCCGACATTCTACTGGCCGCACTTTCTTCTTTCGAGTCTATGTTAAACAGATCTTGAATCGTCGACTAAAAATCACAAATTAGACATATTAAAGTTATTTCAAATAATAGAATGCTTACGCTCTTGAAATATGCCGTCGTGAAATTCCCACCTTCAATAGCAAGGTCACCCAACAATCTCTTTTGATTAGCCTTCTTCAAAATATTCTCTTCGATGGTTCTTTCACTTACTAGCCTATAAATATGGACGTCTCTAGTTTGACCAATTCGGTGACAACGATCTTGTGCTTGAGCATCCATTGTTGGATTCCAGTCTGAATCATAAAATATTACAGTATCGGCTCCAGTTAAATTAACACCGATGCCACCAGAACGTGTGGAAAGAATAAAAGCAAATATTCTTGTGTCGCCATTAAATCTTTCCATTAGAAGCTAAAACAAAACAAAAATTACTAATTGAAAACATGAATTAAAATTTGTTGCAAAGTTCTAGATAGTTTTTAAAACAAAATGTTAAAAACATGCTGGCCATTGCTCTGCTCTTCCACTGTTGCAAAAGTCGTACAGAAAATTAAACTGATGACTGATCGACAGTGGTTTTAAAATACATCAGAAAAAATTATCACCTGTCTCTGATCGACTTTGGTCGTTCCATCCAATCTTAAATAAATATGTCCGTGGAAATTGAGAAAAGCTTCCAAAACGTCCAACATTTTCGTCATTTGAGTGAAAATCAATACCCGATGTCCCCCAGTTTTCAATTTTCTGAGTAATTTATCCAACGTTTGTAATTTACCGCAATCATATTGTATAAGTCTAGGATCGGGAAATTGTGTAACCATCGCCGAGGCAATACGATGTAACGACGTTGCAGGAGCGGATAAATACGCTGCTAATTTCTTTTTTTCTTCTTTTTCGCCCCAATATGTACTGGGTGACGGATGCCATATTTGCATTTCAGGCTCTGGCGCTCGCACAGCAGGCACATAAAAAATAAACCTATTCGAATTATATTTCGGAAAAACTCACAACAGTATAATAAATACCTATCACAAATATCTGCCAATTGCTCTATCCTATTTTCCGGAGTACGGACAAGTTCCTTGAAACAGGTAAACATGTCCGCAGTTGAATCACATTCGGTATCGGCTGTTTTACTCTGATCGCTTTTCCACAAACTAATTATCGGAAAACTATTTTCAATTGTCACAATTTGACGAAAATCTTCTCCGTAAAGTGGAACAGCGGAACACCTTTGCTCGTTTATTTTTGCCATCAATTGTAATCTGGCTTTCAGTTCGTCTTTGTACAAATCCATTTCATCTGAAGATCCTACGTCATTTGTTATACCATCGCTGTCCCACCGAACGTCCAAATTATTTGATTGATTAGCATACAATTGATCTATAAATTTCGGACCGACTGTTTTTCGTTCCTCTTTATCGGAAGTTTTTGCAGCCGGAGGCGTGCTCTAAAAAATCAAATAAGCCACAAATAGGTACATGACAAAACAAAGGAATTACCGTAGTGATCGTATTGGTTGTAGTAGCCGCAACTGACGTCAACTGAATTTTCATAAAGGCTTTAGTTATTTGATGACCCGAATTGCCTGCAGTTAGCAAGGGCTGTTTAGACAAAAACGTCAATTTCTGTCCACCTTTAACAAAAAATAAATTTGTAAGTTCACTTATCGATTGTTAAAAGAAAAAAAATGTATGTTACGAACATTCTAGCTCGCTAGGATAAAGCAAACTAGCTTGGTAATGTAACAAAATTTAATCTCCTTTCCTAATACACGTCGAAAACTATTATTAAAATTCACAACGCAAACAGGAAAGGTGTATAATAATAAAAAAAAATGTATTTACCTGCAGTGGTAGTTGAAACTGGAATATTGCCCGATATGCTGGGATTAGGTGTTAACAACAAATGTTTCCCCGTCGACGTTTGTACCAACTGTGCAAAACTAGCCGATATTTTATCCGACGGTTTCAACATAGACGTAACACTAACTGGTGTAGCAGTTTGATTACTGAGCAAGGGTTGCGAAATATTTACAGGAATGGCTTTGACAATACCCTGTTGAACAAGTTGGACACCGTACTGTGGAACTTTGACCTTAATATTTTGGGATGTTTGCGGATTCTTGCCGTTTACATCTCGTTTTTCTACTTTTAGAGGAACGGTTTTAGTGTCTTCGTGTTTCTTTATTCTCATCATGAGACGACATGGAGGCGGTGGAGGGATTTCCTCTGGTACTGAATATATTTCTATGACTTTACGAGGTGTACGCATTTGTTTCATGCGGTAACTTTGATACGCACTCAAATTATATTCCATAAAAATTAAATTTAAATTTAGCCATAAAAAGTCAATTTGCTGCAAAAGAAATAATCTATAAGTGAAATTTACTTAGAGCAAAAACAGTTTTTGTTTTGACTGTTTTAAGTCAGACAAATGCCTCAATGTCATTCACCTGGCAGAATTGGGTTGAATGGATCCCAATCCTTCAGACGTGGTATAGTTGTCATCATGTGTAAGCAAAAATTCAACAAAAATCAATAATTTTACTCACCTTCCAAACATTATATTCCAAAACTGCGTAAACCAAAGACGGATAAAGTACAACAATACCATCACAAAGAAATGGCGATATTGTTGGCCTGACTTCAAATAAATTAGGATGGTTACAAACTTTCCGCAATTGCATGAGCACATTTATTACACTTAGTAAATTTCCACTGGCTAAAGTTTCTCTCGTTCTAAAATCAAATCGTTAATTTTTTTTTAATTCAATAAAAGAGTAGCGTACTTTGCCCTAGACATGTAATCGTCGTACAGAAATCTTTGTCTTTTAGACAAACGGCACATAACTACGTGCTCGTACTTTTTCGGCATTTGTTTTTCTACCTCTGACTTCAGTCGCCTCAATAAAAACGGTCTCAATACCTATAAATCATTTATAATTAACATCTGACAAGAATAACTCAAAACAAAGTATTTTCATTAAAATTCAGACAAATGCCTCAATGTCGTTCATAAATAAGATTGAGTTGAATGGATCTCAAACTTTCCGAATTTTGTATATTATCATCACTCAAATATTTCAATACAAACATCTGCAAGTACTAAAATCCTCACTTACCTTATGCAATCTCTTTATAATATTTTCGTTATATTCCGAATTGCCTTCGATCATCCCCGTTACAGGATTTGAAAACCACTCCTTAAATTCCCTATGCGATTGGAAAACGTTCGGCATTAAAAAATGCATTAAAGACCAAAGTTCCATTAAATTATTTTGTAAAGGTGTACCAGTCAGTAACAAGCGTCTAAAAAACAAAATATGAAAAGATTCCATCGAAAACTAATTCCAAGTTAATTACTGTTGCGTCTGAAAATTCAATAACAACTGCCATCGTTGGGACTTGAAATTTTTAATATTTTGAGCTTCATCAAGAATAAGATATTTCCACTTTTTCCTTCGAAAACTCTGATGATCTTGGATGACTAGTTTATACGAAGTAATACAAATATGAAAAGCGTTCGGTTTCGTCCAACCCATTCTTTTCAATTTTCTTTCTTTCTGTGTCCCATAATAAGTAAGAATTTTAAATGCTGGCGACCACTTTTTACATTCCATCTCCCAATTTAACATAACAGATGTAGGAACAACAATCAAATGGGGGCCCCAATTTTCTAATAATTTATAAAATAACTGTTATTTCTATTAATTCCATCCAAAACTCACCTTTTTCACATGCCAGATGCGTCAATAAAGCTATAGTCTGTATAGTTTTCCCCAACCCCATCTCATCAGCCAAAATACCATTCAACTTTCGTTCGTACATCGTCACTAACCAATCTAAACCGATGTGTTGATATTCCCTTAGAGGCAGTTTAAGTAAAAATGGTACCTTGGTTGATACCTACGATACTCGTTTTATAACCAAACACAAAAAAAGTCATAATTAATTATTACATTGGTGGAAGACAACGTGTTTCCTTTAGGTTGAATGCTTTCAGCTATCGCAGCAGCATCGTTAATAAGGTCATTATTTTTATCAGTCTTTGCATCTTCTCCCTCATTATGAGAATCTTCGAGTAGTGATTTGAGTCCTAAATCATCTCCCTGGCTGTCATTCTCGGACACTTCCATGTCGGTATCACTAATATCATTTTCTTCCGAACTGTCTGATTCTTCGACCGACTCTTCGTACTCATCGTCTGAGACATCCGACATCTTTACATCCTCATCGTCAGAGACAGATGGAGGAGGCCCGCTATATTTCTTCCTCAATTCATCTATACTCATATCGTTCTCCGCTTTGAGATCCTCTAACTCTTGCTGGTGATCTTGTTTACCCTCCGCCTGTTCTTGTTCTTGAATAGTGTCCTCGTCATCCTCGTCGCTACTAACATTAGCCGTACTGAAATCTTCGTCACTTTTCGATGCCTTTGTATCACATCTGTCTTCGGTATCCGAGCCGTCCTCCTGTGAGGATTTTACAAATTTAGCTCAAAATTTCTATCGACACTATGCCAAATAAGTTTAATAGAATTTTTATCCTACACAAAACAAGTCAAGAATTAGTAAAGAAATATGTAAACTTTATTCTTTCTATTTCTGTCGTTGTGTAAGACAAAAAATATACACATAGTCAGAAAAGTAATTTACTGTTAGACTTCAATAATTATACTTTGAGCCTCGCAAAAATCATTTTCCCGACTAAATGCACAAAATATTTGCACTCACAGAAGCACTTAAATCACTAAGTCGAATACTGTCTCTATTTTGAAGGTAATCTTTGGGCAGTTCTTTGAGGAAATCGTCGAGATCCATCTCCGATTCCCTCTGTAAAGCGGCTACTTCTTCATTCTGATCCGTACTTTCACCACCCGCAGCTTCCTCCTGTGCAATAGTTTCTTCATCATCTGTGCTGTTATGACTATCGGGATGAAACTCATCATCAGAATTATTACGAGAAGCCGATCGAGACGACACAGCACTCGCAGGTACGTTATCAGGATTAGTCCTGTTCATTCCTTCGGCCAACAACTGCGAATACTTTTCAGTCTGATCAACAATAAAACTCAACTGTTGATCCAATGCTTTCTTTCTCTTCTCTTCTAAAATCGTATTTTGTTTATACTCGACCAACTTCTCCACGTTATTCCAGAAATTTCTAATTTCCTTCGCACAAAACGCTGCTATCCTTCTCAGGTGCTGTTCTTGTGCTTTTTCAGCTCTTTGAGCTGCCAACGCTTTATCTTGGAAATATTTCTGAACCATTCTAGCGCACTTTTTAGCTGCAGCTTTTTTCCATTTACGTTCTTGAGCGAAATCGGCTGCTAACCACACCATTTCTTCGAGCAAAAAGTCCCAATGGGCTTTCGCTCGATGCATTTCTTGTACTTTAGGAAGACGCTTCTCCGACCAAAGTCCTTCCTTTTGTAAATCAGCTATCCGTTGAACAACATAAGCTTCTTGTTTCGCTTTCTCCACTATTTGCTCTTGATTACTGACATTCTGATGATTTGTTGGTGTTTTAACTTTACTAGAATTCAACTTCGAGTCTTGATTGTGGTTTGTAAGTGGCGTCGAAGTTGCCGTTATGTTACTCTGCGTGTGGGAAATCCCAGGTAGGGAACTCGCGGATGTCGCAGTGGGTGTACTGGGAACAATTTGTGATATCGACTGCTCCTCCATATTCTCTTTTGGATCTATGGCATGCTCCTTCAAATACGCGAGATACGCTGGAGATTTTGGTTTCTTAGAGAACTGATACAAATCCAATATATTTCCTCCAGCTTCTAAGAAATAAGCTTCCATCAGATGCTCGTTGTATTTTTCTTTGATAAGTTTCGATTTCACTATTCTATGATTCATAACACGCTGAAGTTTAGCAGCGTATGTGTCTTTCTTTTCGGGCGTGGACGGCAGTAATCTCTTAACTGGCGCTTTGGTTGGCGACGTTTGTGACGGCATCGTCGAAGAACTAGAAGTTTCACTTCCGCTCGTGGGAAATAATTGCAATCGAACGTTCGTATTTGGCCGAGGTTTGGTAAGAACGTTTACTATAGATTGGTTCGCTTGACTCGGTCTCAACGGTGACGTCTGATTTATACGCGAGGGACTTATACTGATGATACGTGTTACTCCACCTTGAGTTGACAAAGTACCCGGTGTAATCTGAAAAAAAAAAGAGTCGATGTCACCTTTAGGTAACATAGTACCCGTAATGATAACAAAAGCGAATCACGCGGATCAAACTGATTATAATCAGACTTCAAATAACAGTCATGAGCCAGGGCGTTTTTTTGTAAACACTTTGAATATATTTTTCTGTTTTAGATATTTCGAGATGATGACTTTTACGTATCTAATCTAATGAGTTCAAAATTAAAAATATTTTATTTTGACAGCCTTCTACCTCGAATTATGGAAAAAAGTTTTGAATAAAAATACTCGTTTTTTTAAGTTAAATTGGTTTAGTCATTTATTTTTATATTAAATTGTTTAAGCGTTAAATTTTTGTTTATTTTATTAAATTTATTTTTTATATGCCAATAATAAAATAAAACGAGTACGGTTCTGTTATTTCCCTCCTTCTACATAAAATTTACTATGTCGGTCAGTTATTTAGTGAAAGCAAATGAGCGACGATGTGGCGAATGTTTCGTTGGTCTGCTGGATGCTATCTGTCTCAGTCGTTTTCACAAGGGTTGTGAAATGGACGCTGTCACGCGTCGGAAGTTAACTATGAGTTAGATATTTTCTTAACGTTTGAAAATTAAAAGTGAAATAAAGTCGTGTCCAATACCCTTAAGAAACTACAAGGAAACTGCTTAGCTATTTTTCATTTTGCAATTACATTTTTAGTTTGTTTGTAGGAATAATCTGATCATGTTTGCAAAAAATTAGTGCCCTCGTAAATAGATTTTTCAGTAAGAGTTAAATACCACAAAAAAAGCCACAAGTTAAGCAATACCTACCTATGAATGATTACAAGACAAAATAAAGAAAATATAAGAAGACACACAAAATAAGAACCCAATAGTAAACATAATTAATAACTATTCCCTTACAGAAAAAAGTCTATGATTAAAGAAACTTTAAAAAATACATCCAAAACTAAACACCGTCAAACAAACCCACTAAATTTGAGCTCTTAGGTTCATAGTGTTTATAGTGATTTGAACGTGGTAAATTAAATTTCAAACATTAATAGACAACAAAATACAATTAAAAATTATAAATAAAAAAAATATTAAAACCAAAAATAATATATATTTGAGTCATTTAAGAATACTTGATAGATTTTATTTATTGTATTTATTAATAATATGTATATTTAAAAAACAAGTTTATAAGACCAGTCTTAAAGCACGAATTTAAGTTTAAAAAACGAGTGACGCAGCCAGGAGTTATTTTAAAGAATGAATGCTTCAAAGTCTTATCAAACGAGGTTTTTTTTATACTATTTTTCGATTTCTGCCCTCTCTCACCAATAGTTATAATTTGGCATAACCTATCGCATCCTAAAATTATGCGTATAAGTTAACATTCATCCTGTATACATATTATTTTACTTATTTTAACACTAGTTTTAAGTTTATAACATTTTCGTTCATCACTTATTCACTTACATAAGAACTACCAACTTATTTCCCTACAATAATACAATACCCTAATGCAATGCAAGTACCAATTTAGATGTAGAGAACAGTAACTATTATGATCAGAATAAACACACTAAAGGGGAGGATTAGATGATACCGGTCAGTGAATAACAATAACTAGGCATTGAAACTCGTGACAATTGCTTTTATTGGCATTTCTAGTATACAGGGTGCGCCAGAACTCCGCCCCAAACGAAATTTTCAAGTAAGATAAGATACCAGAAACATGGAAAAAATGTTTCAAAAATTGTATCTGTCAAAAAATTTTGACATTTATTTTTTGACATTTGACATTTTTTTATGTCTATTTAATGATACTGATGATCTTGTTTATGTTTTTTTACAATTACTTAGTAAAGGTACAAAAATTTTGTCAATAAAAGCCACAAATAACATTGAACAGAGTTACAATTTAAGATACAGCCTCCTTGTTTCCTCTTTTAATAGCCTGTAGCAAAAAAAAAATGAAAAATTATTTTTCCAACAGAAATAAATAGAGTCAAAGTCCAAGCGCACCCTGTATACAGTATGTCCCCGGATTGAGCTTACAAGAGGAAAAAAATATATTTGATTTTACACCAAAACTCAAAGAAAAAACATATTTTGCTTCACTTGAAACGACCAAATCTACATATAATTAAAACTTCATTATTCAGTAAAAAGAAGAGTTCATTTTTTTTGGACTTATTTCTTTTGCATTGATTGCAACAATTTTTTTCATAAAAGCTGTGATCTAAGGATTACAGCTATCTACTTTGTATTCAATTTTTATCAAAAAAATTTTCACATAAGTTGCCACAAAAAAATTTAATAACAAAAAAATTAAATTTCATTCTCAAAACACGATCACCCTTGGGTCCATACTTTGTATTCGCCCCCTGTATATCAAAACAATCAAATATACAGTTACGTGTTTATAAAATTTTACACACTTTAGATGCAAAGTCATGTTGCAAAAATTTTGCTAATAAAACAAAGTGCTTCACAATAAATTACAAATAAAAAAACTTAAAAGAACAAAACAAACACGTGCTCAAACAAAACCATTAGAAATTATTATCCTATCTTAACAGTATTGAATGTCTGTATTTACAGTACAGCACAATTTAAAGAGAATGTGCGCGTAAAAAATAATTCATTGTATTAATCAAAACTGTGTCAATATAAGTATTTAACCGAAAAACATTACCAAATATATAAAAAAAAAACTTTTGGGAATCATTTCACAGAAGTAATTGGTAACCACACACGCTAAATATTATATTCAAAACCTCCCATTTTTTTATTATCATTTTCCCTTACTCTTGTGAAAAATACTAGTAATTACTCGTTTTAAAGAATATTAAACGTTAAAAGTTGAACCGACTATTTACCGTTTGAGTACGCTCAAGCTTTTAAATATTCAGATGTTAAAAAAAAAACAACTCCGGACGTTAGATTTTAGATTTTTTGATAAAATTTCAAACACCTTATCGATTTCTACTTGTATTTTAGAAAACCTGCCGGAATTTCAATTATAAAATCCACTAAAATATCTTCAGTAACATAAATTTTTTTTTTTGATAAACCAACTAAATTACGAAGAAAATTATAACACATTAAAAATTAATAAACATACAAAATGTTCTTACTGACATGTAGGTAGGTCAAAACAAGATGTGAAATTTTCCATTACTTCGTTGCAAGTGCCAACATCCCATCACTATCACGCTTGAAACGGTATAACAAACATTTTTATTTTTTAAATTTGAAAACAGTACATTAACTTTTCAATTAAAATTAATCATTTCATTTAAAGTCATTAACCGTTAGAAGTCGTAACTTTTATAAATAATTAAATTTGCTTGAAAAACGTTTGTTGCAAAAACTCGGTTAGTGTATTTTTGTCCAAAAATATTTTAAAACAAAAATGAATTATATATAAAAATTATTGAAATTTGATAAAATAAATATTTGTCACACCTATACCAGGTGAATAAAAAGTATGGAACCAAACGTTTTTTGCTTAAGCTATTTATTTTTTGAAAAAACTAATTGATGAGTGATAAGTACTATAAAAATGTGATGATTTAACAAGAATAAAATTTTTCGAAATTTCCTTTTGTTTTTGAGTTCTACAAAAAAAAATATTTTTTTAAATGGCAACCCACTATAAAATCATTTTTCTCATGAAAGCTATACTCTTAAGGATTACAACTATCTGCTTTATATTTAATTTAAAAAAAAAAATTTTCACATAAATTGCAATTTTGACAAAAAAAAAATCGAATAACTCAAAAACAAAACAAAATTTCGTTCTGAAAATACGATCAAATTTTTTATATTACTTTAATTTATATTAATTATTATTATCTGGAGACAAATGATTAAAAATAAAACCGCTTGGTTCCATACTTTATATTCACCCTGTATGTATAAACAGTGGAAAAGTAAGAAAAATATGGCGCCAAAAGAGATGTCTGACTTACCTGGGCCAACGCTGGAACTCCATGGGGTTGCGAAGTAGTCAAAACGTACTGTGCTCCTGCAACCTGAGTCAATCTCACAGCAGGGCGCTCTGCCACAGCTCGAGAGGCTTGTTGACCCTCGCGCGGGGGCAGAGCACCCTGCGTCGCCCCCGGAGTTTCGTCGCTCATCCTTTACATGTCTGCAAGCAAAACCCCATTGATGAATTTCAAAAATTTTACCACAAACAGCCAAACTTTATGAAAATTTTATTTGTTTTGAGTGTTACGTTGTGATTGTTTTGGTTGGTCTCGCGAGATAAATAAAGCAAAAAAAGCGCGCTTTTCCCAATATGTTTTAAATGAGGTTTTTGACGAAAAAGTCGCGTTCCTAAAGCCTCAAACGAATTAACGCAGCGCTTACATTCAAAATTAAACATATTTGGAGCGAAATCAATATGCGAGTGACGTAAAATTTCCTATTGACTGGGCAGTGAAGAGAGAGATGAAACAGTTGGTGGAGAAGCCGCACGAAAAGCGATTTTCCGCGAAAAGTACGTAAATTAAATAACTGAAAATTTTCGCGTGGCTTCGCCTCCGCCTAGCGAATCGACACAACAAATCCAAGTCCCAGAAGGGGGCACACCGCCAGCTGCCGCCTTCGAAAGGTGAGACACAAAGGATTCGGCCTCGTCGCCATGTTACATTTTCTCATTCGATTGATCCAAACTTACCATCATGTAATCACAAATTATTCGGGCGAAATTCGGTCATCTGCTGTTAAAAACACAACCAGCGACTCGATCGAACTTCAATCTACAATTGGGTATTCCACGTTAAGAATAAATCGCAAAATGTAGCCGATATTTTGAACATTTTACGCGCTCACATCTACAACGCACCGCCCTTTACAAACATGGCGACGGGCTCTATAGTTGAACGCCCAAGCTCGGCCGCCTGGATCGCTCAAATCAACACTGCGCAGTCGCGACAACGTTGACACGCATGCGCTGTGCCATTTTTCAAACTAAATTTTCGGAATTTTTTCACTCTTTTAGAAAAATGAGTCGATTACGGCCGGAAATTCACCCCTTGCTTACGGAGGATATCGTCAAGGCTCTACAAGGGAGGAAAGTGTGGACGGTAATAGACTTTATTAAATTGGACACGCAGGAGATTAATAAAATTGCACGACTCAATTTCAGAGTGAGTCCAAATTGCGCAATAACAAACAAATCTTGCTTTCATGCTCTGTTTCCAGGAAGTGCGAGCAGTAAAAAATTATCTCCTGAAAAAGTTTTCAGCCACTCCTCTAAACGGATTTGATTTTTATAAAAATGTTCTCAAAAATACTGCCATTATCCCAACAGAAATCAAAGGGTATAATATTTTTCACATACTTATTCGCATTTCATTTCAGTTTTCTAAATTAAAAATTGAACTGATTTCACAAGAAAAACTGAAATTTGATTTTGAAGAAATACATATTAAATTCGAAGTGTCATCATTTAAAAAGTCTCAACGTATTTATTCAACTGACCATTCCAATTCAAATGTAATTAATGTTGGCTTTGAAACGTTCAAGAAAACCATAATAAAAATTGTTTCAATTTTATTACAAACAATTGTTTTTAATTTTAATAACAAGAGAAATAAGGCGTTAATTAACAACAATATCTCATTATATTCATATTTTTTTTAATATCGTTTGAGATTTTTTTCTTTTATTAAAATCTGCATCATTTCGTCGTAGAATCAGCCATAAAATTTTAGTCGAGAAGGTTTAATACATATAAGGATTATATCAGTTCTTTGTCATGCAAATGGGATAAGGAAATTTAAATTTTTATTATAGATTTTTATTGTATTTTGATTTAATTTTAATGGTATTTTATTCGTTTGAAGCTAATTGACAGTGTATTTCTGTTCGGTAATTTATGTACCGTGCGATCAAAAAAAAAATAAATAAATTAGAGGAGGCGTCGATTAAATTCTGCAGTTGGCAACACATTGGGTGGGAATCAGAGCTGCAAATTTTCCACACACACTGAAAGTGAAAATGACCATTTACGGTTTTCGTCTTGTACAGCAATAAAAAATTTCAATCAAAAGGAATAAAACGCAAACTTGGCAAAGTTTCCACTGACATTTGATAAAAATTAGGACTTTAATCACCGCCTACTCTAATTTATTAACTTTTTTTTTTTTGATCCCACGGTATGTGCAGGTGCAAGCATAATTTTTGCTAACAAATTTAATAAAATGACAAAAACAATTTTCTACAACAAGCACAAACAAATCCAATTGGTTCCATTAAGACAATATGATAAATGTAAGATGTGTTATTAGAGTTGGCAAATGCTTTCGATTTAACGCTTCCAAAACCCCGAATTAATGTATTTTTTATGTATTCAATAAAATTGTCAAATGTTTAAAACAAAAATATTATAATAACAGAGGGAAAGCCGAATTTACAATTGCCAGTTTGTGTTTTCCAATATTGTTAAGGTCATTTTCCTGTAATATTTTTAGGGTGGACCAATTGCTAAACGGGGGATTATTTACTGGAAATATTTACGAGTTATGTGGGCCCCCAACTTCCGGCAAAAGCTATTTTGTTTTAAATTTAATAAAAAATGTCATCTTGAATATGAATCAAAATGTTTACATTTTCGACAACAAGAACGACTTTTCGGCCAGAAAAATAAAGAAAATGTTGAAAAACTGTGATGAGGTATTAATGATTTAATTTTTTTTTAAGTTTTATTTTTATTATATTTTTTCTAGGACCGACAGATTAGAAGCTTGAGCAAGATAATAGTAAATCGCTCTTACACCAAATACGATTTAATCAACAGTTTATACGAAATAAAAAACGATTTAGAAAATAATATGAAACTTCGGTTGATTATCATCGATTCTCTGCCTAGCATTCTTTTAAATTCAAACGACTATGTAACAAATAATTCATATCTCAATCATATAGTAAACATTATGAGATATATTGCAAATGAACATCATATTGCATTTTTGGTCACGAATTTAATAACAAAATTTATTGATGGTGGATTCAATAAGAGTCAACAAGAAAATTCCGAAATTATTAGTTGTGGAAAATACTGGTCCAATGTCCCCAACACTCGCCTCAAAATTGAAAAAACCGAAAACTCAAGAGGATTTAAAATTTCCGTTTTAAGTAGTGACACCTTGAACAAAAAAATGGATAATTGTGTGGACGTTATGCTTACAGATGAGGGATTTTTGTGATGTGCAAAGTGGAAATCGCTTTTAATTAAAGTTTAATTACGTTTGTAACAAGTGGAATCGACATTTCTGTTTTAAACTGTAAGATCTTAAAGAAATTAATTAAAATTAATTTAAATTGATTTTTTTTGTTTTGACAGTGCCCATCTGATGGCTGACTAGTATTATTATTTTTGGCCTTAAGATTTAGAGAAAAAAACACTCTTTGCCCCGCCCCCCTTAATGTCATTTCGTCATGTTCGTCAGACAACTGTCAGTTGCAAAAACAGTTATTTAATTCTCTGTTGGATATTTAAGCATTGCAAATATTAATGAAACACCAGGTAAATAAAATAATGAACATACAATCGCTTAAAATCATTTCAATATAAATTTCAGGTTCATTTGACAATAATGTAACATAACCTAAAATAAGACTAAAAATGGCAAATACAGGAGTGTTGCCTTTTGTGCGAGGCGTAGACTTTACTCGCAATGACTTTAGCGTAAATGCCCCTCAAACTGAATAATAGAAACTTAAAAAGTGATTTCAGGGCGAAAAGTTTCCTGAAGCTGTGAGTTCCATGACAGGAGTGCAATGGCTCAAATTAGACCGGACGAATTTGACCGAAATTCCCAAAGAAATGGGAGATTTACTCAAATTGGAACATTTATCTTTAACGAGAAACCAACTAGAGAAACTTTACGGCGAGTTAACAGAACTGAACTGTTTACGTACTCTGAACTTGAGACACAATAAAGTCAAAAGCTCAGGAATACCTTCCGAATTGTTCCATTTAGAGGAGCTAAGTACACTTGATTTGAGTCACAATAATCTAAAAGAAGTGCCTGAAGGGCTGGATCGTGCAAAGTCACTTTTGGTGCTTAATTTAAGTCACAATCAGTAAGTTATTCTCAAGGAAGTGACAAATAATTTAATGTTATTTGTAGCATTGACTCGATTCCTAACACTTTGTTTATAAACTTGACCGATTTGTTGTTCCTGGATTTGAGTAACAATAATTTGGAGACGCTTCCCCCTCAAACTAGAAGACTGGCAAATTTACAATCGCTCATTTTGAATAATAATCCCCTGGGTCATTTCCAACTCAGACAGTTACCATCTTTAATTAATTTAGAGACACTGCACATGAGAAATACTCAACGCAATTTGAGTAATTTTCCCACAAACTTGGAAAATCTGATACTTTTGACTGACATTGATTTGGCCCAAAATGCCCTACCCAAAATCCCTGACGCTCTATATTCCCTTCCTAATTTAAAACGCCTCAATATGAGCGAGAACGAAATCACTGAATTATCCACAGCTATGGAACTTTGGCAAAAACTCGAAACCTTGAACCTCTCACATAATAAACTAATTTGTTTACCGGCATCTCTGTGTAAAATATCAACCTTGAGACGGCTTTATGTCAACGATAATCAGCTGGATTTCGAAGGGATTCCGTCAGGAATCGGCAAATTAGGGAGTTTGGAAATTTTTTCAGCCGCCAATAATCAATTAGAGATGATCCCTGAGGGTTTGTGCCGGTGTGGATCATTAAAAAAGCTCAATTTAAGCTCAAATCGATTAATTACGTTGCCGGATACCATTCATCTGATTAATGATTTAGTGGCTGTTGATTTGCGGAACAATCCGGATTTGATAATGCCCCCAAAGCCTATCGAAATGACACGTGGAGCAGGATTGGAATTCTACAATATTGATTTTTCGTTGCAAAATCAGTTACGGCTTGCAGGGGCCAACGTACCGGCTCCAATGCCGGCCCAAAGTACGTTACTTTATTTTCTGACCAGATTTCAAGTTCGATTTTCTAGACCCTAGTAAAGACCCCATTGCAAGGAAAATGCGTCTACGACGCGGCAGGAGAGATCATGAAGAGGCCGATCAAGACCAGGCCAAAATTTTAAAAGTTTGTCATTTTATTTTCTTTAAGTAGATATTAGATTATTTTACATTATAGGGAATGAAAGATATTGCAAAAGAAAAAAACCTGAGTATGCAAGCTGATGATCCAAAAGCCGAGTCTTTGAAGTATGTTTTTTTGTTTCGTTGGATATTAATAGAAACTATTTTAATTTTTAGGCCCAAACGTTGGGATGAGACTTTGGAAAAACCTCCACTTGATTACTCCGAATTTTTTGAAGATGATGCAGGCCAAGTTCCAGGTTTGACGATTTGGGAAATTGAGAATTTCCTGCCAAATAGAATTGATGAGGTGGCGTATGGGAAATTCTACGAAGGTGATTGTTATATTGTTTTGAAGACAACTCAAGAAGAAAATGAACAGTTGAATTGGGCAATTTATTTTTGGATTGGCGAAAAAGCACCAGTAAGTTTGGCTTGAAATAAAACAGAAGTAATTTTAGTCATTATTTATTGACTTTTTAATTCGAACTAGCTTCTAATTAAAATTGGGACAAACAAAAATCCCAGCTTGTTTTCATTTTGTGCAGAAATCATTTTGTAAATGTGAAAATTGGCAATAAAATTCATTTGCGTAATTAGCAGTAATAATTATCATTAATTGTAGTTGGACAAAAGGGCGTGTTCGGCCATCCACGCCGTCAATTTACGTAATTATCTTGGCGCCCAATGTCGCACAATCCGCGAAGAACAAGGTGACGAATCCGAAGAATTCCTAAACCTTTTTGACACCCAAATCACATACATCGAAGGTGGCCGCACTTGTAGCGGATTTTTCACAGTCGAAGATAATGTAAAATTTCCTCAAACAGTCGCTTATTTTTACATTCAAAAAATTGTAGATATTTGAAACGCGATTCTACCGCAGCCACATTGCTGGTCCCACAATACACCTCGAACCTGTGGCCCTTTGTGTAGAATCGTTAGACCCCGGATACGTTTTTATCCTTGACACCGGAATGAAAATATTTATTTGGAACGGCAAGAAGGCCAAAAATACCTTAAAATCGAAATCGAGACTCATGTGTGAGAAAATTAATAAAAATGAACGGAAAAATAAAGCCGAGTTGATTACGGAAACTATGGGGAGTGAGAGTAAGGAGTTTTGGTTGACGTTGGGCGAACCTGAAGGAGTACCACCCGAGGAGCCGTTACAGGTTTATGTTTTATCTGTCTTGTCGTTTTTGCAATTAATTAACACATTTAATGATTAGGAGCATGTTGGTGATTTTATTCCGGTTCCCCCACGATTGTACCAAGTTCAACTGGGCATGGGTTATTTGGAGTTGCCTCAAGTCGAGGTGCCTCACGGTAAACTTGTCAACACTTTACTCAACAGCAAAAATGTCTACATTTTGGATTGTTATTTGGACGTTTTTGTGTGGTAAGTGTTGGAAACATCATCTTTATATAGTTTTTTTTTGCAAAATTGAGTCCTTTAGGATTGGTAAAAAATCGACAAGACTTGTCAACGCCGCTGCTGTTAAATTATGTGAAGAACTTTTCAACATGATTGATCGGCCCGATTATGCAATGGTGACACGAGTTAGAGAGGGCACTGAGCCTCAGGTATATTTTCAAGTCCTCAAATCAATTAATAGTAATTGGTGAAATTGAAGATATTTAAATGCAAATTCGCGGGTTGGGACGAAGTCATCGCAGTGGACTTCACACGAACGGCCGAGTCTGTCCAAAAAACCGGCGCCGATTTGACGAAATGGGCTCGTCAGCAGGAAACAAAACACGATCTGACTGCTCTCTTCACCCCCCGACAGCCCCCAATGCCTCTCACAGAAGCCCAACAGTTGATGGAAGAATGGAACGAGGATTTGGAAGTCATGGAAGCGCTGGTCCTCGAAGGTAAAAAATTCGTGCGACTTCCCGAAGATGAGTTGGGGCATTTCTACTCGATGGATTGTTATGTGTTCTTGTGCCGCTATTGGATGCCCATCGATGATGATAGTGACGGGGGTGAACCAACGAATGACGGCGATGACTTCCATTGTGTTGTTTATTTCTGGCAAGGGCGCGAGGCGTCAAATATGGGCTGGTTGACTTTCACTTTCACCCTCCAGAAGAAATTCAAAATGTTGTTTAATGATAAGTTGGAGGTGGTGAGGACTTACCAACAGCAAGAAAATATGAAATTCATGGCGCACTTTAAACGGAAGTTTATCATACATCAAGGGAAGCGTAAGCAGAGGGATAAGAACGCGGTGGAATTTTACCATTTGAGGTCGAATGGGAGTGCCTTGTACACGAGACTCGTGCAAATTAAACCGGATGCTTCGTCACTTAATTCTGCATTTTGGTAAAGATTTCAAGTCTTGTGTCATTTTGTGTAATTTATTATTTTTTCCCAAGTTATATCCTCAATGTTCCATTTGAACAAGAAGACGAAGCTGGGATTGTTTACGTCTGGATTGGGTCAAAAGCAGACCCAGACGAAGCTCGTCTGATCCAAGAAATTGCCGAAGAGATGTTCAACAGCCCTTGGGTGAGTCTCCAAGTGCTAGCAGAGGGAGAAGAACCGGATAATTTCTTTTGGGTCGGCCTCGGCGGAAAGAAGCCCTACGACACCGACGCCACCTTTATGGAATATACAAGACTTTTCAGATGTTCGAACGAAAAAGGGTATTTCGTGGTGTCAGAGAAGTGTTCCGATTTTTGCCAGGATGATTTAGCCGACGATGATATCATGATCCTTGATAATGGGGAACAGGTCTTTTTGTGGCTTGGAGCCAAGTGCAGCGAAGTTGAAATCAAATTGGCCTACAAGTCGGCACAGGTATTTCATTCCTGTTTACTTTCTTAGCATTTTTTTTTTCTTTCTTCAGGTTTATATCCAACACATGAGAGTGAAACAACCAGACCGCCCTAGAAAGCTATTTTTAACGCTGAAAAATAAGGAGTCGAGGCGGTTCTACAAATGTTTCCACGGATGGGGGGCTCACAAAAAACCACCAGAATAACGTGCCAAAATTTATTTAAAAAAAAATCACAGTATTAACAGAGACGGAGCTCAACTGTGGACATTCTACTAACTTTATTATACATGTTACACTAACTTATTGAACAATCTAGATAAATAAATAGGTTTTAACAAGCACTGAGTTTTATTTCTAAGTAAGAGGATCTAATTAGTCATCATCATCGTCATCATCTGATGGGACAAATAAATCATTTTCTTCGAGAAAATTGGCAATACTTTTACTAATTGCAGCTCCAATTAACAAACCTGGTACTACAGTCAAGATTAAACGAATGATTCCAAATGAGGTCCTGTGGGGCTCGGGTAGCAGACCGCCTGTTTTTGAGTAAACTCTTGTTCTGATGGGGCCCAAACTGACCAAATTTTGGTGATTTCGTAACACACGTTGCTTCACGATGGGATTTAGTCGAGACAGCACCATTTTAACACAAACTAGGATTACTTGGCACTGGTACTTTATTTAAAAATATAACCAAACTTTTTATAGAAAAATCCAGATGCAAAGACCACCTGCCAGATCAATGATGTGAGCTGGCGCCCTCTACATCGAAATAAACAATTTCTGAAAAGTAGTTTTTATTATTAATTTATGATACAAAAACTAAATTACGTTAAATAACATGTAAATGAAAATGTTAACAAGCCTCAAGGCTTCTGGCTTCGATAAATGTTAGGTAAACTGTTCAAAATCTTGCATAATTCGACGTGATGATTGGAATTAAATTTGTCATTATTGAAGGTAAAAAATTCATTAGCCTTTATTTTTTTACCGTGCTGACACACACCTTTTACCTAAAAAGACGTAATTTTAGTATCCTGCAAAGTTATGTTTTGTTAGCCACCTCCACATATCCATCGATGTCTTCAGTGAGTGGCTTGTCTAACTCGACAGAAACCATCAAATCGTCCGATGAACGTAAAGTAAACGTTCTATCTCCCACACGGGATCCACTTACGAAACCATAAACCGAAACATTTTTGCCCACAAAACCAGCCATTTGGGCACCGGTTACAATGTTGTATAACGTACTACGGGTACTCATAATGACCATGATTTCTGTTTACACAGTTGTTAGCTGAATGTTGCTGTAATTTAAAAGTAACTTACGGAAAAAACTATTGTGTTGGACTCGTTAAAACTTGACTCCCGCGCTGTCAACCCGTCAACTGTCAAGTGCAAGTGTCCAAGTCCCAATGTAGCCAATAGAAGAGAAATAATCACAATTATTAATATTTATAAATTAATTATGAGTGGTTTTGTCTAGCATATTTTTGTATATGTGTAATTATTAATACTAAAGTAAAATAATAATAATAAAAATAATATTACCTTGTTAACATTCTAATGTTGGCAAGTCTCAAATGTCAATTTATAAACATAACCTCATTGCGCACAAATAATTGCTTTTTGTTTGTAAATAATTACCAGCAGATAATTAATAATACAATGTCTTTAGTCCCTGATTATGATTCGTTATCAAGCTCCGATTCAGAAGATGAGGAAATAGTTGAACCTAAAACCAGGTAACGTTAAAACAACCAAGTCGTGCCTTTTCAACTCGTTTCAATTTGATTTTAATTCTTGGCTTCCCTACTCGTAACAATAATGAAATAAAAATCGGGTCAGCTGTTTACATGTTCCAGGGACACCGAAAAGACGCCTCTCAAGCTTCCAACACCGGACTTTGTAGGCGTCTCTAACGATCCAGACGTACCAAAAACATCAGTTTTTAAAAACCCATTTACGGAAGCCGAGAACGCCAAAGAAGCGATTTTGCAGAAACACGTCAAAATGGTGGACGCTAAAGATAACGTCGTCGTAATAAACGGTAAAAAAATCTGTTGGAATTATAGGAAAGGGCGGTGTCGCTTTGGTCACAATTGTAAATACGCACATGACTCAGATTTACAAAAATCAAAAGAACAGTTACAAAGTGAGAAGCAAATGCAACAGACTGTTGTTTGCCAAAATCAGAATTTACCTGAACCGTCGCCTCAAGACTTGGAAAAAATCAAGCAAGAAGCAGTTACGCAAAATGCTCAAAAACGGAAAAAACGACCGGGATTGACGCAGGGACTCGTTCCTGGGAAGAGAATTATGAAAAATTATGTTAATAAGAAATTGTAATGTGTACCTTTTTTATTTATTTTCTTTGTGATTAAAAAAGGTTAAGAAAAAACGGTTTGTGTGTGACTATTTATTGATAGGTTACGCAAGGTCGTAACACGAACTCGATGTTAGTCCCCTTGACTCACCTGAATACTTTTATATAACATGTCATGATAAAAAGAGCGTTTGCTCTTAATATAAGTACACATTTATTAAGCAAGTAGAAGAATTACATACATTATCACACTCTAAACCCCAAAGACGGGGTTAATGTATCTCAGTGGAAGCACTAAAGTCTCTGCGCCACTTTTCAAAAGAGGTGTCGAGAACGCAAATACATCCACCTTTTTATAACTCTAAATGCATAAATTTTATTAAAAAGTAATGAAAAATAGTGGAAATACCTTTCTAAAATGCTCTCTCTTTTGAATATTTTGTACAATTTTTCCGGCCAATTAAAAAAAATACTTTAAAGTCAGCAAATAAAATATTAAAAAAAAAACTACAACAGCATTTGAGGAAATCACGAAATAACAACGAAAGCTTCAACAAGTAATCTAAACAGGTACATACATATTTGTTTCTAAGATCGTGAAGTCGAAAAGGAACATTTCGATTTTCGTGAGTGGAAAAGAAATGTTTTGTGTGACAAGTTTAAAGTTGGGTTTAAAAATATAGATTTTGAAAATTTCCATCATATAAAAGAGTGAACAGTCTTTCCGATTTATTTCAATATTGGGTGATTAATTTAATTAATTGAAAAGTTCAGTTCGTCACACTATTAAGTTATGAAGTTTTGGCTTACCACTGGTAGTCAACATTTATACTGGTCTGACTAATTTTATCACTGTTACGTTAAATACTGTGTCTACAAAATATGTTTTACAAAGTAATATAAGCTACATAAATAACTATTAAAATAATTAACTGCAAGACTACATAATAAGGTGAGATAGGTAGATTAAACCTTCATAATAGACGTGGAATTTTAGAATCACAAAAAAAAACAACTTAATGAGAACCGAGAGAGCTAGTAAAAAAATCGAGCGGCCTTTAAAAACGTCCATTATGAAAATCCTTCAACCGATAAAAATTAAGCTTTTCCATTACATTCTTTACCCTTCACGTCAGCATGGCCGTTCAATTTTAACGACTTTTTGCAATCGAGACCGTTTAAAGTCCCTCCAGTTTTATCCTTCGCCGTCCCATAGTCATAGGCTGGGGTGTCCTGAGGACCGGAAGGATAAAAACAGAATTTCTTCGATGTTGTCCAATCCTCCCGCAACGATAAATTAAACATGGAGTAATCGGGATTTCCTGTTACCTCCTTTTCAATTTGGAGGAACGGCGGGAGAGTTTCTTTTAAATTCGCTTCGTCCAAAGCCGAATAAGTTTCAAGCAACATCAAACCTCGACACCTGCAGATTTGTTATTACATCAAGACGTTATAAAAACCACAAAATTACCTGGGATGACTCGGTGGCTGATAGATGTCGAGTTGGAAATATTGATTGTTGTAGATAAAACACCGGCGAAGTTTGTAAATTGTAAAGTGGGAATTGTCCTTCTGGGTGAGTAGGTTGATATAGTCGCGATGAGTTATTTGCGTTTTTACTTCGATTACTTGACCTCCAGGCTGATTCTGACGTCTTACAGTGTGAATATAACTGTAATGACCTGTAATTCAAAAAATAATAATATTCGAAATTCGTGACTAGGGGAAACTAGGTGATGAAGCACTGTAACATTTTTCCCACAACACTGACCACCACCGCCGTGTTAGTAAAATAAAAAACCTTTCCTAATTATTTTCCCATATATTTGCACCCAATATTTTACAAATATAACACTAACTTCTACAATAATGAAATCATAAAATCAAAATCGTGCTTTACAAATGACGAATTTTTCTGTTCTCACCTTTTTGTCCCCGTTTTCGTAACCTGACTTGATTTGGTGAATTTGACTGTAAATAATTGTGAACGACTTCGAAATCTTGAAACTTGGGGAACAAAGAATCATCAGGCAACGGCCCTTTGACCAGGAACTTCAACTTGCGGGCGTTCTTCAATAAACGATCACCGGTGTCAATGCCGATTTTGTGACACACTGAACCGATCATTCGCCTGATCTTGCCTTCAAAATCAGTCGAGTTGTCAATAACGTCGAAATATGGGTGGCCGACCCAAGATGCAGCAGCGTTCGAGTCCAGCTCGCGAGCCAACTCGACACCTTCAGAGCGACAACTGTGGTCCTAAATAAATACAAAACTTAAGCCAAAAAATTATCATTTTGGCAAATTTTACTTCAATTGAGTAAAACTCTTCGGCCCCTTTAGCCGCTGAAACCATGTGAATGATTTGGTTGTAGCGGTTATCGCGAAGTTCGACGTTATTCCAGTGGTTATCTTTCATTATGTGTTCCCACTTTTCTTTGGTTATAACTGGAATTGCTAATTAGTTTTAAGTGAGTCTTGAACTGGATTCTTACATGCTGAAGCATCCATGGCACCTCTATCACAAATTATAAGACAATTTCTGTTACAAGATTTTCCCAATTCGAAGAAGGTGTTTTCGATCTGAATCATGGTCTTCAGGAGGTTTTCTTGAAATTTCACAGCTGCAAAAAATCAAAAATCATCAATAATAATCAATAACCATCAATTAAGTCAAGCAGAACGCAGCACAAATACAGTTTTCCATTGATTAAATGCCTATTCTAGCCCAAAATATGCATAACTAGCATTTCAACGAAACTATAAACATTATGTAAATTACCAGACATTGCGTGCGGCTTTAAAATGATTTATTTTAGATTGTAAAAAATTAATTTCGTTTTGTAAGAGACGTCACGTGATGATGCGAGTTAAAATACACGAAAGCTCCACAGGACGTTAGCGCTACATAGTAACGTTTTCGGAGCTTTTTCTGCTAATTTCTTACCCTCACTATGGACAGGCACTTCGGCTTCGCTCTTTTGAATTTGCTGAATTTTGATGCGGAGACCACGGGCTTAAAAAAATCACCCAACATAAAAAAATATCAGACGCCTGTTATGTTAATTGATTAAAAATTTCCATTCCCGACACTTAATTAAATTACTTTGAAACTTAATACCAATAATTAGGGCGATTAAAACGATAATAATAGACTCATTGTGCTTGGTTATTGGCCGCGATATTGAAAAAACGTCATTGTTTGCAAGATCAAATTTATTATCTGTAAATATAAATAAGCCGCCAATTTTGGCCTTTACCTTCACGACCACATCATCTGATCGTCGAGTGGGAAAAAAATGATCAAAATTTTTAATTTTTTTAATGCTAAAAAACAAAACAATAAACTTGACCCTCACATTCACTTGGCGAACTTAATTATTTCTTACAAAATACAAATATGTATAAACAAACAAAATTAAATAAAGCAGAAAAATGACGAATAAACAAGAAACACAGCAAACACAGCAAAAGCGAACGGAAATTTTACGGGTATTATTCTATTTTTTTGGTTTCTATTTTATAAAACTGAAAAGTTTTTTTCATTTTTACATTATTTTTTTAATGAAATCGGTAATAAATAACCTGTACTGGAACAACCTTCAAATTTTGGCGCGACTGCGTAAGTATTATAAAATTGAACACTAAATATTGTAAAATTATAATTTACCGACAAAATTTATTTATTACATGATGTCTAGACTAAAGCAGTTACATTTTACACCACCTGTAACACCCAAGTGGCTTGTATGTTTTGTATACAAGACCAAATATGCCTACTCTTTATTACAGAAACAAACTTTGTTATCTTAAATGTATAGCCAAAACAACAATATCAGTGACACACACACACACAACGGAAAAACCACCAATCTCTAGTAATTAATGAAAGTTTTTCTTAAATTGATTTCTAAGGTAATAAAGCTAAATTTTTGTACTCCTATAATTTACGAGCGGAAAAGTCTGCAACAAACCTATCCAATGATTTAGTGGAAATAGTGAAAACTCGCGGTAAAATTCCTTCTCTTGAAAGAGTGCCAAATGAATTCCAGAAGATATTTTTTCTAGCGCTACAAAATCCACTAACACCGATCTGTCAGCCTTCCATTAAATTTCTCTTAATGAAATGGGAATAAAATATTTAAGTACCTAACATCAAAATTCCGTAAAAAATACCAAATTACTTCAGTTTCAACGAAACCAGACAGTACTTGTGTCTCCTGGCTGTGAACTTTAAACGAATTCCCCGTTAGGTTATCTAAAAATAAGCTCTCGATTTGGTTTAACGCCAAGTTCTTTACTTTGAAAAACTGACCCCATCGACAAATTTATTTTGATGTTTAAATAAAAACTTAATTATTGCGAAATTTAACCGATTTTATTGTTAACCTTGTCCATATCATATCTTTAGGTCACAGAAATTAGATTTTTAGGCAAACAATTACAATGAATTTTAAAACAATGCCACATCTGCTCGACATAAAACAACAATGTTCACATTAGGTTCAAATTTGCAAGCAAATCAAATCAATGAAACAATAATAATTTATGATTGCAATCAATGACATCTTTAACATCAAAAATTGAAATTTAATGCGCATTTATGGACCAATCATCTGACACCAGTAAATTAAATTAACATTTTCTGTCACACTTTTTCTCTGTAACCGCAATTGAAATACAAATAAGGTCGTTTTATGTTAAATTCAACAATGAAAAGAATCGCAACACTTAAATTAATTTATTTTTCCGCTTAAAGGCACAAGTGTGTAAATATTAGTATTAAAAATGTAAAACAGTGACGCTGCATATGATAAAACGATTATTTTTTTAAAATAATTCGCCATAACGTCATTGATTTATTTCGAGGCCAGGAATTCATTAGAGCATGTGATTGTTCAAAGGTGTTTATTTAAGTTAAATGTGCGTCAGTTGTTGATAAAAAAACTGTATCTTTCTCCCCTACATTTTACAATTTTTCGGTTAATGAATTTGTTGCACCATGACCTATTTTTCTGATCCTCTGTCTGAAACGTTGTGTAATGGAATTATCGATTTTCATTGTATTACCCTATCTATAAATGATGCAATTTGCACAATGGACAATATTTAACAAAGAGAAATAAACCGAGTCGTAATTTTACTTATTTTCGTGCACTACGTAACAATTTAATTATTAACACAAGGAAAATTCCTGTTATCAAATATACAACCCGTTGGCTCACTATAGTGCAGTAAATAATTTTCATACAAAGGTTTCGCTACAGATCGTTGAGAAACCGTAGAAATACGCTATGAATTTTAAAAACGGAATAAATTCCATGGTCGCAATTATGCCAAGTTAAGGTCAAGGTTTTTGATACTAAACTTTTATTATTACAATTAGTTTGCTAAAAATTGTGGAAAATTACAAACTGCTTGGCGTATTTTTGCAATTTCCGGTTTGTACATTTTGTAATTTCAGCAAATGAATCAGAAAGAACGCAAGTGTTATTCTTGGCACGTGATTAAATTGCTTTGGTAAAAAATGAATAAATATTTATGAAATCCAGTGAACGACCTTCCTTGACGACCATCCTCACTTATGTAACTTCTTCCACAAGATATGGAGACGTCAAAATATTACGACGTGGAAAGCTCGTGATTGAGCACTAAGATAAGCTTTTAGGTTTAAATCGATGCTTGGCAATGGATTTTTTCTTCCAGAAATAGAATCCCGAAAATAATCACATTGTAAATATTATTTTAACAGCGGATTTATATTTTTCAGTTTCAGAACGTCATTCATAACAAAGACAAACCCCCCGAATATAATTAGCATAGGACAAACAATTACGCAAGGCATACTGTGTTTGGGTTAAATTTAAAACGAATTTTGTATTTTGTAACTGGGCCTCATCCAATCTAATCACGAACTAAAATAGACAACAGGTTGAGCTCATTTTGATAGAAAAAGGTCCAAAATGTAAAACGGGATTGGCAATCTGCAATATTTTGAGCGGGCCGTAATTTTTAGAAACGAAGAATTGCAGTCAGAAATGGGTTTTTACTCACCTTCCTCTTCACTTAAATCGCTGAACTTGATTCCTCCGCTGCAAAAATAAAATATAACATAAAATTTAAGTCTTAAACATTTGTATAATACGAGTTTTTCTTTCGTTTGTTAAAAGATAAGAAAATAAAAAATGAATAAAGTAAATGTCAACAATAATCTACTCCCTGGAATTGGGATTCGTTTTTGTTAAGTTTGCAAAATTTTCAAAATGTCAAATTAAGTCATTTCAAAAAACTAGTGTGTCTGCAATTTAGGCAAATGTAACAGTTTGATTGCAGTAAATTACATTAATGCATTACCTTATTGTTTGTTTTTTTTTAAATTAATTTTGGCACTTCCTGAGAATACCGAATGTAAATTAGAAGTGTCAATATTGCTTGCTCATGTTTTGATAGTTTTTGCTCAATGACAGATTACATCTTGTGAGGTGAAATGAATCGGAAAAATTTGGATTCTATAGATACAAAAGAAGAATCTGAAAAGACTTCACTTTTCATAAGAAAAAAATGTTGAAGTGACAGATTTTTTATAGAAATGCCACGACGTATAAACCTTTATTATAGTCGCGAGTATTATAGGTACAATTTTTTTTTCTAATTGTAGTTATTTTATCAAATATCGTGGGTGTATGTATGTACATACAGTTGGGAATTAAAATTTCGGGCAGTATTGTCATTTTCATAATGTAAACTCTAAAACAACCTTTACATTAATAACCTCATTTTTTACTCTTGTCATGTTTATGTAAAAAGTAGCGTCACTGACAGAAAAGTTTAATTGTCAAATGTCAGTCATGATGACAGTAAAAGGTAGTTTACAGTGAACTTTTTGAAGTGACAGAAAAATACTGCCCGACATTTTAATTCCGTAACTGTACAAACGAAAACAATTAAGTCTAATTTTTGATAATTTTAATTAACAAACTTATTATACCTATAAAGTCCATATTTGTTTGTTCTTTGACAAGAAAAACTAACTAAGTCTATATCTGTTGTTAATGCACAGCTATGGAACTGTGCATAATAGTGTAAGCCCAGTTTAGAGTAAACACATACGGCAAAAATACGTTTTTCCAAAAATGTATAATTGTGGACATAATTAATTTTCCTTGTACGCCTACGATATGAAGATTGTAATTCATTGATAACAGTTTCTACGTTGAAAACATGTGAAAAATTTTGCGAAAGTACGCTGTTGTCCGAGCATAATTAAAAATTTAAAACATGTATATAGGAAATTGATAGATTCTAATCTAGTGAATCACCTAAAATTATTTTGAACTATACAGCGTGTCCCAAAAATAAGTGACAATAAAAACTTGTGTTTTTTTTTTAATGAAACACCATATATTTTTTAGCATTTTTGGATGTAGATTTTTATGACAATGTTTTTAAGCTAAACTTTTATTGCAAAAAAAACTAAACTAAGCAAAATCGACCAATAAAACATTGTCATAAAAATCTACATCCAAAAATGCTAAGAAACATATGGTGTTTCATTTAAAAAACATAAGTTTGTATTGTAACTTATTTTTGAGACACGATGTATACTGTTGAACAGACACTGGTTTATCCACTATAGTAAATAAAGTATCTTTTAACAATAATGTTGTATTGGTTTATTAATATTTAATATAATATTTTTAATATTACAAAGACAGTATAAAACAAGAATAAAACTGAAAAAAAAAAACATTTCTAGAGTTTAAAGTCAATTATCTACAACAAACTCCTTAAAGTGTCAAATTTTTTCAATATAGAGCCATAAATTTTAATTTTTTGGGTTATTTCATCCATATCAAACATAATAATTATTAATCGCAATTACGTTGCAGAAAAATGCTGATGAAACATTTTCATAACGTTAAAAATACATAGTACCTGAACAATGCATTATACAGTCATTGCATGGAAATTCTTAGACTTTTATCGTAAATATGATTTCTTATCTGCTGAGGTTTGTATAACTTTTAATAAGCAATATTTCACCTATACTAGTACAATAAAAAAATTCCGTCCAAAATGCCAATGAAATCACTTAATTTAGATTAATATTATTTTATTATGATAAAAAATCGACCACGTGTTCGAGTATACATTTCCGACAAATTACAATCTTTAAAATAAAAAACATTTTAAGTTTTGAATTGACGCGAATACAGTCCTTTGCGATAAATGATAAGATAATACTGATTTCAAATAATGGAACCTTTTATAAACTATCTGCGATTTTAATGATGTTCTAAACTCCATAAAGTACTAAAGTAGGGACAATGTTTTGGAAATAAAAACGTAAAATGTATTTGTTTTGGAACAAAATGTAAAATACAAAGAAAAGTCAATGGCAACATTATAACTAGTTTTTAGGAATTAATTTAATAAATCAAATAACTTGAAATAATTGTTGAACACCCAATTAAACATTTAATTTTAGCTCAAGTTATAAATTTAAAAACCACGTGCTCCTGAATCGGGGCAGCGATCCAAAACATGTTTATTCAAAAATAATGTCTAGACTTCCTGACTCCAAAAATCCTTATTTGTTATGCATCTATTATTACTAATAAAAAGTTTTTTTTCGTATAAAATTATATTTAAAAAAGTAAAACTATAAATAATGTTTTAATGTAGGAAAAGACTGGCTTGAAGCGCGACGTTGGGTGCCAAAACACAATTTTATTGTTATTTTCTGGTATATTTAAATCACCCGGCTAAATTAGGGAAAACCCACGATTCACTGATATTATTATTTTGAGGAAATAGATAAAAATATTGGGAAATTACCATGACACCTACCTTAGTAGTACTGAGGCAGTCTCAGGTACTCTGAAAACCTGTGAACACATACATTTTGAACTGTGTTTTCTTAAAAAAGTGGAAAGCCGTTTTACCTTCCATCCCATATTTTCGAAAAACGTGCTCAGCCTGGCTTGACCGGTTGTTTTGCCACCACATGGTCCTGAACAAACCGAAATTAATCCTTTGGAGAATCACTTGGTCGACTTACCTCCTGTTAGGACAACTCTGTAACAAGTTTTATCTTTCGCACTGGTTGTTTTATCCATATTTCCGGTATTTTGACGAAACTTAGATTTTCTAATTGAATTTTGCTAATATTCGAGAAGGTGATTTTGTTGTGAAAGATGAAGAATGAAAATCAAAATTTGTAAGCACTAAAAGAAATAAACCGGGTACATGATCAAATTTTACTGTATATTGATTTCATGATGTGTTATTTCGCGAAAGCGACAAAGGCTGACACGCGACACCGCACAGACGCGGGACTAAAGAAATGTGAGCGAATTTGAGTCTTAAATAAACATCATCGCTGACAAAATTACATTTTGACAAGGGAGTTTTGACGCAGAGGGATGGCCACACTGGAATCAATACACGTGGTTCCCGTGGCGCAAATTTTGAATTTCTTGACAATTATTGCGCTAAAACGATTAAAACAATCTAATTAAACCGACAAAGAAACAAAACATTATTGTTTTTACAAAAATTGGGTAAACTGTGGTTGTATACCCTGCAAAATTAACCATTCATACCTAAGTAAAATATTGCATTATTTTTAGTACAGTGACGCTAATGCAATATATTTATTAGTATATGTGTTAGATTTTTAAACAAAAGTAAAATTCTTGTTAAAAAAATACGTATCGAGCTTTTGCACAATCGGCTACATTCTCATTAATTAGTCAGTAGCACGATCAGTAGATTCTCTGTAGTAAATCCTTTACAGCTACTCTGTGGTAGATCAAATGTTTTTGACGTTTTGATGACAGTGACAGTTAAAATATAACAATCAAAAATGTTAATTTTTTGACTTATTTTTCAATTACACGATAGAGAAAACTTTAAAAATAAGCCTAAAACCACTTAGTGTAAAAATGGCGGAGAAAAAATCCAACCCTTTGGACCTAAACAGTTCTGGCTTCAACCCTAACATGTATTTGGATAAATTATTTAAAGTAAAAATTGCGCTCCGTTTGTCACACTTCACTAACAAATCTTTCTTCCAGGAGTCCAACTTGAAACAAATAATGGACCATGAAAGTGAAATCGTGAAAGACACACAAACCTTGCATTCTGACATGCAAACTTTAGTTTATGAGAATTACAACAAATTTATCTCAGCCACAGACACAATAAAGAAGGTGTTGTGGGGTGTTTGTTTACTGAAAATTATTGATTGTGTTGTAGATGAAAGTTGATTTCAAAAAAATGGAAAACGAGATGGATTTGCTCGCCTCAAACATGGCATCAATTACATCGTTTTCTGATCAAATTAACTCAACTCTGCAAGATACAAGGACCCAAATTAGCAAACTTTCAGGCGTCCACACGCTTTTACAAAGATTACAATTTTTGTTCAAACTGCCAACAAGTTTAAAAACTAGAATGGAGGAAAAGCGTTATATTGAGGCAGTGCAGGACTATTTGCACGCCCAGCGCGTCTTGGAGCAGTATGGCAATTTACCGTCATTGCAAGGCATCAAAACCGACTGTGAAACCATCCTAATAGATCTAAAAAAAGAGCTGAGGAAACATTTCAGTAACCCTCAAGCCTCAGCAAAAGAATTAACTGAAAGTGTAGATCTCCTCTTACAACTCAACGAACCAGCACAAGAATTGTGTTCAGAATTTTTGATTTGTGCCGAAAAACGTCTCAGTGATCAACTAGTGATGTTGAAAGATCAGAGCGAGCAACGGGATATTTCCGAATTTATTGATTTAGGTTGTTCGGGATTTTTGAGCGATTTATGCTTAGTTGTTGCATCTTTTGACGACATGTTTATCAATCGAAACAATTCCGAAAATATCGAAAACAGCGATATTTTTGAAAACTTCGCCGCGACAGAACTTAACAACTTCGTTAAACAAAACATGGAGAAATACTTCGATTTGGTGCAAAATAAAGTCGATTTAGAACAGGATGTTGGGGACACAGCTGTTTTAGTGCAAGCCTTGGACCGGTTTTATAAAAGAATTGAAAGTAACACATTGTGTAGAGACGTAGATTTCTCAGCGTAAGTGACTAAAACACCACAAACTGCCATTTTTGATAATCATATTTTAGTCTTGCGACTGAAATTGTGATAAATGCTGGTCGGAAACAATGTAAAGCGCATTTGCAAATCCTCAAAATGCACTTTGCTGATTGTTTGACGAAAGTAAGGCAAAATTTAACAACTCCAAAGCTGATAAGTCAGGATGATTCATCTAAAAATTTGAATGAACTTCTCAGCACACTTATAATGTCGATAGTGGAGAAAATTAAGGGTGTTTTGCAGGATCTTGTGGTACGAAAACATTCATTTAATTAGCTAATTTCAACTAAATGAAGTGAATTTTTAGGTGTTTATCCAACCAGAAGTCAATTTCGCCCAAAAGCCGCAATTTAAAGACAGTTTTTGCGTTGATAACGTCCGAGAGGGGCTTATAGTATGTTTCATGCATCATTTTATGGCAACTGCGAGAAGTTACTGCGCTATAGTGGCCTCAGACTTGAAGGTGCCCCCAACTGTACTTTTATTGTTATCAAAATTGTGTCTCGATTTTCGGAACGGAAGCGTTAGTTTTGTGGTAAATAAACCACTTTATAGTTACAAAAATCACAAACAAAATGTTTTAAGCTTTCTCAAACCGATGAGTTGTTCCAAATAAACCCCAAACAAAGTGCTGCTTTGACAAACGAGAGTGAAATTAATATGACAATGCAAGAGTCGGCGCAAGAGCTTTTGAATCATTATGTGAGGATACAAGGACTTAATGTTTCACAGGTGATTTGATTATTATGAATGAAATTATTTTGACTGTTTTTGTCTGAAGATGTTGCGCAAAAGCGTCGAAACCAGGGACTGGCTTCACACAATCGAGCCGAGGACTGTGCGGGCCGTCATGAAACGTGTGGTTGAAGATATTTCGGCAATAGATGCCACTGTTGCTTTGTTGTATGAAGACCAAGGGAATAATACAGAACACAGTAGTGATTCCAGCCGAAAAACTCACAGTATTTCGGTCTCAAGGCATCAGTACAGGTCAAATTGGTCAAGTTTGACCCCTAATCATCTGGATTCAACTTTGGTGTCAAACATGCATAAGTTGTTCAGTGAAAGGATAGAAATTTTTTCAACAGTTGAGTTTAATAAAATTTCGATTCTCACTGGGATCATTAAAATTAGTCTCAAGGTAGGTGGAATTGTGGTGTGGAATGAGAATTAAAAAATTCTTTTTTAGACATTTATGGAGTGCGTACGTTTGAAAACTTTTAGTAAATTTGGCCTACAGCAAATTCAAGTGGACACACATTACTTGCAGTTGTATTTGTGGCGATTTGTTGCAGACGAAAAGTATGTCATAAATTTTAATATTTTTTAAACTAATTACATTTTCTAGTTTGGTTCATTTTCTCCTTGATGAGATTTTGGGGTCTGCTGTCCACAGATGTCTGGAACCCATTTTAATGGAACCAAGTGTTGTGGATATTATTTGTGAAAGGGGTTAAGTCAGTCTTTGTGGGCTGCATAAGTTACAAAATATTTATTATTCTTTTATATTATCTTGTTTAAATAAAATGGAGAATTTTTATCACACTTTGTTGTATTATTTTTATAGATAAATGTCATTAAAAAAACGATATTTCAATCTTTCAGTTGCAATGATATGAATGTGATATTTCCACTGAAAGTACTAAACAAGACACTTCAGTATCAAGTTTTGCAGTATCAGATTCAGCTGAATTAACCACAATGTAGAAGGATCATATCCACAAGTTCTTGAAATAATGGGTAAGTGCATTTTTCTCAATAAACTACTAAAACTGAAGATACAAATTTTATTCCAAACTAACCTTACACTAATTAACCACTAGCAGTAGCTAATGGATTCCTTACAACTATAATAACCGCGTCGCCTCGCAGGAACATTTTCGAAATGAACCGATCCTTATTCACTGGCTTGGCTTTTTTCTTCCCTTTTCCAGGCCGCGGCAACTCCGTCCACATTTCCTTCACATTTTCCAAAACAATATTGCAGTGGCGATCGAAAGCTTTCACCCGACCCAACAATTTCTTATTGTTTCGGCAATTTATCAACACCTGAGTATTGTTTTTGACCGATTGGGTGAGCACCGAAAGAGGGCCCGTGTTGAACTCTTCCTCTTCACGGGCCTGAAGCTCCTCAGCGGTCATTTCTGATTTGGGTTTCGTTAAAGCCATTCTGATTGTTTTTATGCACTCAAAATACCACTATTTGCGTTTTTTGCACTGTTTTCGGCTCAAAAATAATGTTAGGTTAAGAATTTGAGCGTTTTGGCAGCGTTCGGAGATTTTTGAGTACGCATGCGCAAACATGAAATTATGGCGGCGCTTTCAAACATTCAAATCAAAAATTTAAAAATAATGGATTTAATTCTGCTTAGATTTTGCCCATTCAACAGCTTGAGTATTGCTGTATTTTATTTATTCGTCTATTGGAAATAAAAATTTAATTTTGTCATACATTACAACAATAACTTAAAGTTCAAAATCTACAAAAAATGATACAAAAGGACTTAATTTTTATTACACCATGCAATTTACATTCCATTGGAATAAAGACATTAATTATTATAAGAGCAACAAGCTTGTATTATATGACAAACTCTTAATAAAGCAGATAGGGGAATGCACCATTTATTATAATATAACTCAAGAATGAGACTAGAAAATATGAGGAAAGTGTTATTTTGATAAAAGATAAAAATAACTGAAGTACATTCTTTGAAGTTTCTTATATAAAAAAATACAGTAAAACAAGTTTCAATATTTTCAAATCTGCCAATAACGAATAATTTTATTTCTAAATAATTTGTTAGCCCTAAAATCGGAAATTAAATAATTAAGATAAGTAATAATCGCTCTTTATTTATAGTAAGTATAACAATAAGAGATAACCAGCAGTGCAAGTAATTATTCCAATATTGTGTTTATTTAAATATTACAAGCAATGCGAACAACAAATAATAATATAATCATTAAAATGCAGTGAGGAAACGATAAACCACCCCTACTAAGTCGCAACGTTATATAAATTAAAATTTTTGAAGAAAATCGTCAGAAGAAAAGTTCTTGTCTACCCGATATTAAGTAGTTGCGCCGAAGGTGATGTTTTTGAAAATCTCCTCGGTCCACCTGCTTTTTATCGAGTAGATAAAAATCACCAAAAATGGTGTTTTCTTGAAACTTGTCACACGACTTGTTCTGGTGTCAGATTTAATAATTCTTAATTCGACATCCTCATTTGCGGCGTTTCCTGTCGCCGCCCGTCTAAGGTCCCGCATTTCAAAGATTCAAAGCTTCGTTTTTCCAAATTAATTTTCATGAGTTTAGTCTTCGTGCGCCTACCTTAATTCAATTAATCAATTGACCAGATGAGTGGAATAAAGTTCATATGTTTGACATCCACGATGAACATATTTAAATCTCGTTACGGGCCACTTCGGACTAAATAGGATAATAGCTGATGCTTACTGCTGCTTGCTGAATGCCTCTTGTGTCGTTTTACACGCGCTGTATTCAATGATTGTATTGTTTGTGTTGAGCAATTTTCTATTTTGGTGTTTATAAGAGTGTTTTTGCTCAGGTAATTTTTGGGATTACAATGTGAAGTAACTCGAAAGATTTGATTTGTAAATGTAGTATTTTCCGATCGGTTGTACGCAAAAAAAAATCCAAGCACTTCTTATTAATGTTAATTTTATAATGTTTTAGAGAGGAAAGGGGTACCAATCATATAATCAAACCAATCAACGCTGATATTACTGTGCATATTTTTCTAATGACTTTTATATCGCAAAATTGTGGCTAATGTAATTATTTAATTTCATTAAAAGATAGTTCTGCCATCCATCCATAGCAAATTCAAATTAAATAATAATCCAAAATTAAGAAAACCATGTTACAATTGTAATAAGCACAATTTTAATTAATTTTACTATAAATACATTGCCATAATAATTAGTCCAAGGTAGAATCGCCCTAAAATATCAAATTAAAAGTACATACCTGTATACGGTGTGTCTCCAGACAACTTTTCTTAATAACTTTGTCATATTTGCCAAATAAAAGACACTTTATTCTACAGAAAATAAGTTTTTTGAGTATTTCCAGAACACTTCATTTTTTCAAAACTAAAATTATGGCTAAAACCCACATAATTAAAACATTTTAAATCGAGATTTTTTTATCTTTCGTTTTACCTATCTGGGGACACTCTATTTTACCCAAAAAAACATACAACTATAACTTGAAATTAATTTTTTGCGTTTTCCACATGGTACTTTTTTGACTAGAAAATCAAATTCTAAATAAAAAATAAAGTCACTTCATATTTTCTGTTTAAATAACATACTGTAACATAATGTTAATATGTACAGTTGGAGACAAAATACTTTGGTCGTCCTTTTCTGACACTTTAATGTAATTCAAGCTTTAACGTTAAAATGAAATTAATGACAGCTATTATATTTTCCTACCAATAATATGTACATACAACTTGTCAACTATGATTGACAGTAGCTAAAAATAAGATTAACAGTCCTAAAGCATGCTTTACAATTTAATGTCACTCAAGTGACATTGAAGACCAAAGTATTTTGTCTTCAACAGTACTACCAGAAATTCTACAAAAACATAATACTTTCTTAAATAAATAAAACGGTAGAATACAAGAAATAATGTACTGTGCACCGATAAACGATAATTTATTCTCTTCAATTTAAATTTAGTTTTTTTAAATCTTTGAAGAGTAAAAATAATAGATACTGTTTTAGACAATTAAAAAATATAATCTAATTAATTAATCTTTATAATATTTTGTACATTGAAAAATAGAATAAGCAGTTTGAGAACCAAATCTTTTTTTCTTTCAGCTTGTTTCTTTGAAACTAAAATAAATATGAAAAATTGTTAAAAATGATTTTTTAATCAAAAAATAATTCAATAAAAAGACAATGACTTAAATTTCTGTGTTACTATTATAATTAAGTTTCTATCAAATTCCAAATAAAAAATTGTTTGGTCACAAAAATGCGAGAAATCCTTGTCTATAAAAAAATAAACTCAGTAAGTACGAATTAATTTTGTTTTTATTAATTTCATTAATTCAGTTAAGTTCTTACACGAACAAAACAAAAAGGTTCAGATGTGGCAAACATGTTCTCGGCAATTTACTAATTGTGAGCACATTAGATATTATGTAATTTATTTTATTTACGTCCTACAATTTCCGTTTTACTTGTCCATTTAAATTTATTTCTCTCAAAAATAGTTTGCAAATGATTCAGTATGTATCGTCTGGTATACAAATGTTATTAATAGCGTGTATAATATCCCATAAATGAAGTCTATTTCACTGGTGAAAATCCTAACACAACGTCCATTAACATCTCTCGTAGCTCATTGTTTCAACTTATCACCCCAGTTCAGAGCAGCAATTCTCTCTAGTTTATTTTTGCAGAGATTGTTTTATATAAATAGTAATAGCGTTATTCATAGAGTGGTATAGTAAGCATCAATGCAGGCTACAATAGAATAATAACGTGTACAAAGGAAATAATCTCTTAATTTAAGTTAAATTAACACAGGGATGTGGGCTTCGCATATAAACCCAATTGACTCTCATTAAACGTCAGTGACAGACTTTAACGCGTGATGTGTGTTACTATTATTTATAAAATCTAAAGTAGCTTTGTATCGTGTGTTTCTGCAAAAGTAAGATATTTTTGCTAGATTTAATCGAAATTGTTAAGTTTAAGTAAATTTCAGTGAGTCAACCGAAATTCTTCACCAACTGACAAAGAAGATATCTTCAACAAAGTCAACATTTACGATAATAGAGATAAATCCATGCGAGTGGGACATTAGTCAAACTAAATGTAAATGAAAAAAGACCTTATCACGTTGACCCGTAACCCAACGATATTATGATGACCCCCGGCCATATTTTCTAAAACAAATAGTCGTCCAGTAGTCGGTGAGGTGGTCACAAATACGCGCGTTCAAGGTAAAGATCATTATTATTATTAACAATAATTTATTTTTATTAGAAAATATTTCAATCATAAAATGAAAATCTTCTGCCTTTCACTATTACACATCTAGACAAAATTTAATCTAAATATTAACGATATCATATCGCTGTTCATTCATTAGAAAATATGTGTAGTCATTAGCTAACAATGAAGCTTCCACAAACTAATTTTGCAAATTTATGTGTGCAAAAATCAATCGTTAATGTATCTTTTCGTAAATCTAACGATTTTTGTGGGTGACATAATTTACTATTAAATTGTTCTCCCACAGGCAATAAAATGCATAATATATTCGTCATTTGGAAGGCTTCTACATTCATAACAGATTGCACGATACGGGCGTCCATTGAGGGTGTTTAATTCATTAAAATGTCGCTTTATTGCTTTGATACGCGATGACTAATATACTGCAATATTTTAATGAAAATTATGTGAGAGATTTTTCAGAGTTACTGTTTAACATCATTTGACATCACATTATTTCACTTTCTAATTTAAAGTAAAAGACTATCATTTATTATGATAAGTTGAAAAATAAACTAAACAAAATTAATTAAACACTATCATCAAATACATTATCATGTGAATACATAATAAAATGAATCCTACTGTATTAGATCAAACCCTGTCAAAATACCTATTTTTATATTGTAAAGATCTATTCTTTCTGTATTTATGTCTACATTATTAACATAGATACAATTAATTACTTAAATTTCTTATACCTAATATTGTTTCACAAAATCTAAAATAGCCCTGCCATCAAACATTTCATGATATAACTTCTTAATTTCATGCAATTTTTATAACAAACAGAAAAAAAATACAAGAAAATATAAAACAATAAACAGAGAATTGCCGTAAAAAATGTAAAACTATAACTCTAAATTTAACTATCAATTTTACTGTTACATACTCGTATTAGACGATAAAAAATGTGATACAAAAAACACTCTGTAAAGCATGTTTTTATTAAGCTATAATTCTATCTGTAAGTAATTAAAAAAATGTTTCAATTTATTGCCAAAAATTTATAGTAGATATTATAACTATAACCAATTTTATTGTGGATAAAAAATGTTCTGTTGTTAACATTTTTAAATCAAATTAAGAAATTAGTGTTACTTTGTTTCGTGCTAAAATGTGATTACATATACCTATTTTTTTATTAAATTATTGTATTTATTCAATTAAACATGGTATATTTTTAAAAATCTAAATAAAAAAAGTACAGCATTCAGAAAAACATTCATTCAGTAGCGTGTAATATATTTTGGATGTCAATGTCATTTTTTGCCAAACTTATTTTTATATAACTTAAAATTCCATAATTTCAGCAATAATAGAAAGTCAATCAACTAACTAATTTTGACTTGTTGATACTCAATCTCAAAGGGTAAAAAAAAAATATTTTTGGTGACATTGACTATTTACTAAATAAAATTTTTTTCTTAAGACCAAAATGTAATATTTTTTTAAATTATTCTAAAACAGATATTGCACTAGTCACTAATAAATTTTTATTTTGCTTACAATTTTTTTTTAAATTTAAATATGATAAATAACATTTAGTTTCAAACATTTATAAACTGCAAACCAAAATATTTGATTCTGTTTGTAGTTCTTTAGTATTTATTTAATTATCCTTTCAATTGACAGCTAGTTCGTTAAGATGTTATAATTCACAACAACCAACTTTTTTTTTAATATACAGAGTGTTAATATCGCAAAAAGTGCAATCACATCGAAAAATAAGACTAATTCGTCACATAAACCAGAATCGTATAAAGCTTCGTTACAGATGTACATACAGGGTGATCAAGTTTCATGATTAAAATTAAAATCCATTAGTTCTTCCGAAACAACTTGAGTTATTTTCATAAAATTTTACAGACTTTGTGAGCCATTGAAAGCGCTTATTTTTCGACAATTACTTTATATTTACTCTTACAACATATCATTTTTATTTTTATTTTTTATTAAAATTACATATTTTTCAACGCAGTATGTGGTTGCAATTTTTCGCAATAACATCCTGATTTTGGATTAATAAATATATTTCTTATTTCCTATTTGAAAAACTTTTTGTTGTGGTTTTTCTGTTTTAAGTGGATCTTTTGTTTGCTTTTTTAATCATGCAGTAATAATAATGATTTTTATCTTCTAACGACTTGATCTAATTAACATTTTATTACAAAGGGAAACAATATCACCCTTCCGTCTGCAAAAACCACCAATGACCACAACAAAAATATTCTTAAGAACAATGTGTAACAACGTTTAGTCAGATCTCTCTCACTCAGAGTCAATTATAAACCGGCAGACGTTTAATTTACGAAGGGTCGTTTCAATTAACCTTCCGACTAACTAACGAATGAATGAAAAAAAATTAAAAAGAATCGCTAGTAAAGAGGTAACCGGGTTTGAACTGTATAGTACCTTCATGTTAAGGATAACACTTAATCATAATTCAATTGTTAAAAGGCCGCTCGTGGTCAAATGCCTCATGTGATTAAGACATGCCATCAATCAATTATAGCACTTATTATCTTTCTTTCAAGGGAAAAGACTGTCCTGTTACTAAGTACTAGTGCCGCAGGAGTACATTCGACCTCCTGCTGCTCAAGTGCTTATCAATGGGAACAGAATTATTTCATCAAACGGCGCCTCAGCTGAAAATGAGACATCATCACCTTTGCCACGTCTTGTTATTGTGAGTTAATTTTTATTGAATATGTGCTTTTTAACCTCTCAGTTAAACTCAGAAATTCACAAATGAAACGCAAACTTTCTTAACAAAATTTGTACTTTATTTTCAAATCTTGTCCAGTAGAAAAATATTTTTAAATTACACAAAAATCATAAATTAATCACATTGACATCAGTGGGCAAATCCCTTTTTCCTTTTAGAACATTCTCCCTCAACTTCTACAACACAAAACAGGTCAAAAGTAAGACAAAAACAACACAAAATCGGAAACTTACTCACCCTGTTAAAAGTATCCGCCATTAGTCGGCTAGCTTGTCGCAACTTTTTTTCCCTATTATCTAATAACTTTTGTTGAACTTCTGGCAATTTTTTATAATTTCTCTTGTTTATATCCTTCATCTCTTTAGCGGAAAATAATCGTTTGGGATCTAAAGCATCACTGTTTTATATTAAATCACATTTATTACGAGTAAGCTCACTTTTTGCACTCTCTTCCTGGCATTTTTTTAAAAACGTCAGCTTGTTATTATCAGACATTTGTTCACGTTGCATTCTTGAATTATTAACTGCCTTTCTTCTCCCTTCCGCGTCTTCAACAAAATCGGGTCGGTTTTGTCGCAAATATTCCTAAAAAACTAACTCAAAAAAAAACACAAACTAAACAAAAATTTCTTACGTTTAACGTATAACCGGGGTTTTGGTTTTCACTAGTACTGGCTTCACTCTCATACTCCGTACTGGCCTTTTTCCTTTTATTTTCTTTATCTTTATGTTTCTTTTTATACGGCACAGGAATCTTTATTTTGATTTCTTCCAGAGACTGTTTTTTCTTATGCTTTTTTTTCTTTTTATCCTCCCTAGTCAGAGTTTCATCAAAAGTCAAAACGTATGCAATGCCATTTTTATTTTTGGAAGTTTTTTTCAACTTGCATTGACAATATTTACAATACTCTGACTTTTTCCGATCATTGTTTTTCGTGCATGTACAGTGTTCATCCAATTCATTGATGTCATTAATAGTTTTCTTAATTTCGTCCAGTGTTTTAGTTTCAACAACTGTATAACAATTACAAATATGCTCAGGACTGGCGTAATAATTCGGAGCATAAGCTGTCCGTCGATTCTGTCGATAACAGTGCCGACAAAGAGGATACGCCTGATTACTCAATCTCTTCCTCAACTCATACAGATTTTTTGCTTTTACATTTTTGCGTTTGCAGCAGACACAAGATTGCATCGACTCACTCGTACTTTTACTCCTAGAAGATTCAGAAGTTGAAGAAACAGAAGCCGATTGAGGAGTTGTACTCTTCGTATAACTAGTCAGCGATTGTGATTGAGTTCCAACATCGTATTTACGACCCTCAGAAGTCTGGACTTGTTGATTCACAGACTTGCATGCAGCATCTGTTTGCGATTTGGCATCATCGGTTTGAACTTGAATGTCAATAATCTTTTTACAGATAACCGCAGAAGAGTCAATTTTGAGTAAATCTGAATCAGATTGTGTTTGGCACTCTTTGATTGTAACGCATGGTTTACACGTGGTCGCTGTACTTTTTTTGTCTTCCATTTTGGTGTCTACAATTTTTGTACGTTGAGTACTTTCAGTGTAGATGTTTTTCACGATTTCCATGCATTCGCAACGGCAAGTGCATTTGTGAGTAAACTCCTCGGAGTCTTTAGATGACTTACTGGGAAGTTGGTCCAATGGTACTTCGATCAAAATTTCTTTAGTGGTCTGAGGCGCCTCTTCTATGCCAAATTAAATAAAATAATTCTTCATCATTTTCACATTACACATGTAAATGTAATCAATTCACAAATAAAGATAATACCAAAAAACGAGAGTTTTTATAAAACACATTAACCCCGACCAAAAGTAGGTATAATGGATAATGATAAAGAATAATAAGTAATTATTAAAAAAAAATGCACTGTTCTGAACAAGAACACACTTTACATTGACTTCAGGTAAGTACTTATGTTATTTACGAAAGAAAAAAAAACTAGCGATCTTCAAAAATTCATGGAGAATATTATGCTGCGCATAAACACATACACAATGTTCAAGAAGTAATTTAAAAAATGTAACCTTAAGCAGATCAAAATGTAAAAATAAATAATAGGTACACTTGCAATAAAAAATATATTTATTTTCAATAAGATTCTAAAATACTCTAAAACCTTTTATCCACAATCACTCTATAAAGAGACTTTATTCCACACTTTAGATGCGTATAAACCACCACTTTATCCACTAGTGGAATAAAGTAACTTTATTTCACTGTTAGTGACCAGCGCACCGAGTAACAGCTTACTACGTTTAACCGAAAGCACATTTGGGGTGACGTTTAAATGTCAGTTTAATTTTTAATTAAGTTTGGAATAATTTGGGCCTGTGATTGTGGTTAAAACGTTATATTGCAGTCGTGTGTTAGTCGCGTTTTATCCACTTAAGAAAATTAACCGCTCGAACTGACGCTCTCGCGGTTAAACATTCTTGCGTGGATAAAACGCTATCTAATACACTCTTACAATAAATAACTATTATCAACTATAGGTTATTATTAATAAAACTGTACACTGCAGTTTTCTCTGTTACGATAAATTATTTCTAGGACAATCCGTATATTATCAAGATCATAATCAACTACATACAGGTGCGCCAGAACTCGCGCCCCAGAGAAAAATGTAAGGTAAGATACCAGAAACATGGAAAAAATGTTAAAAATGTTATACGAGTTTAAACTTTGCACTTTGACTTTATTTATTTTTGTTGGAAGAATAATTTTTAAGTTTTTTTACTACAGTCTATTAGAAGAGGAAACAAGAAAGCTGTATCCTAAATTGTAACTCCGCTTAATGTTATTTGTGTTTTTTTTGGCAAAATTTTTGTTTCTTTACTAAATAAATACATAAAATTTCTTAAATTTTTTAAAGACTGTATCTTAATGAAAAATGATCGTACCTAGATAAAAGAAAACATTTTGGAGCTTCAAGTTTCTAGTTTTAAAATCTTAATCCTGAGAAATAGCGCGAGAAATTTTTTTTTATTTTTTTTAATTCACGAATTTAAGAAAATTTGGATTTTTTTTTAGTTAAATCAAAGCATGAGCCGGATAGTTTGTTCATTTAGTTGTTTTATTTTTTTACGTCAATTTGTTGCTGAGTCTTTTAATAAAAAAAGATCCTTATGTCTTTGATGATCTATATCTTAGCAGCCAATAACAGAAAGTTTCAAAAACTGGAATAATTAGATCCTTGTGCGATAATTTGGAATGATTTTTTGAAAAAAGAATTTTTTTCACCCTCAACATTGATTTAAAAAAAGAAAAAAGTAACTTTTTTTATTGTTTTATTAAATCTACGGGGTATTTACAAATATTGATGGAAAAACTAATGTTTCTCCAAAAGCCCTCTAACTTTTTAAATCAGTCCAACAAACCGGTTTTTTTTCAAATCGATGATTGATCAAAGTTTTACAAAAGTATTAAAGGAACAAGTAACAGGTGTTTATTTAAATTTGGCGCCATAGTTGGCGTTGATACAAGTGTATTGTGAACGGATCACAATTTTTAAGCCAGGTGTCAAATGCCAGATTAATAACTTTCAGTACGGTGGTTCGTTCACAATCAAACTTCCATGGACAGCTTTGACGTCAAATTAAAAAAAAAAAACACCCGTAATATTGTTTTTGAACATTGTGTAATCCTCATCAAAATGAAAAAGACACTTTGTTCTTTTTTTTTACAATTTTGCATTAGTTATTTGTTAAATATAAAAAAAATAGAAATATAAAAAAAATACAAATTAGTAGTTTCTTGATTTTTTTACAAACTTTCAAAAACAACGTTATGTACAATATTAAATTTAACTATTTAAACTGCTTCAAAGTTTGGTTGTCAGTGCGTGAAATGTCGTCATGTGTGAAACAAGCAATAATTTAAATAGTAGAAAAAAGTAATCAAAGTATGAAATAAGTATTCACCAACTTTAGCTAAAAATCGATACAACACAAACAGTAAAAAAATTTCATATACACTTTGTCTTAACAAATTGATTATAATTATTTGTTTAATAATTGTAATTAAAATGTGAAACAAATATGAATATAAACATAAACCACAAAACACGAGAGACTCACCTTCAAAATTTGGTTTTCCCCCATTTTTCGAAACCCCACAAGGCCAACATTTCCTCTCTTCGGCCTTACTTCTCGGATACGTCTCGTACTTCCCAGTGCCAACCAAACTCGGAGCTTTAGGTTTAAACTCCCCGTCGAGTTTTCTCGTTTTCACTTTAATGTTTGTGGTTTTCCCATCCGACTCCACTTCAATATCCCCCACAACCCTCCTACATAAATCGCTTAGTTCCGGCTTTTCTGTCAACTCATTCACTTGATAATTCCTGTTTCCAAACTTGTCACGAATATTATACTCAATTGGAATATCAGATGAAGTACTCGCAGACAATTCGGTCTGAATTACATAATTCCTCGAACTCGTACTCTCTTGCGAGTCCGAACAGGGGCAATAATTATTATCGGACTTATTGTAACGATGCGATAACATATAAACAGTGGTCGTCTTTTGGACTTTTTTCTCCAAAAGGCCTTTGAGTTTAGTCAAATGAGAAATTTCGTCTTTGATCCATGAAAGTTGATGTTGTCTTTCTTTTATCGCGAATTTGACAAGGTGGTCACCTTGACCTCTTTGTTTCTCCTCGTGGAGTCTCTCAGACAGGGTTTTATCCTCTTTCCAACTATGGTAGCTCCCAGATGAATTTTGTTGCTTCTCGAGACTATCTCCAGTGCCACCACTTGACGAGTTTTGACTCACAGTGAAAACCGACTTTTTCTGAACCGTTATTTGGTCTTCAACCGGCAAAAATTCCTCACTGAACGTCTTTACAGTAAATTTGGACATTTGAGGCGGAAACCACGGAATGTTTTCCTCCAATTTTTGTTGTTTTTTCGGAAGAAATAACTCTGAACTTGTCGTACTGTCGTCGTATTTACTATCAATAATTTTATCGACAATTTTTTTAATGTAGCGTTTTTTTGTGGCAGGATCGTATTTTTTCGATTTGAGCAATTTTTGGAGAAGTTTTATACTTTTGTCAATATCCGCGATCAAACTTTGTGACTGTTTCTCTGTGATTAATTGACTTAATGGAAGATCTTTGGAAGAATCGCTTGACACCAGATTCGATTTCGGAGAACTTCTTTTAAGAAAGTCGCCATTTTTCAAATTTTCGCCATAATACTCGAAACTGTCGCAATGCGACGCAACAAGGCCCCCATCGCTCGATGTCTTAGGATCACTCTCGTAATTTACGACAATAACACTCTGATTTTCAACAGGAATTTGTTCAGCAGTAATGATTTCTAAACTGTCCCCGGTCTGAACACACTTCGACAGCCCCTCAGAGACACTAGTCTGAATTTTTTTATCAGTTCCCTTCTTCTTACTATCATTACATTCAATTAAAATTGGTTTAGTGATACACAAATTAATTATTTTGTGTTTGGGGCCCGATTTTTTGACCCTCGGGATAAAAGGTGTCTCAGGTAAAAATTTTCCAGTTGCTTGATTTATTTTTGGGGTTGATTCAGCATCAGGAGAACCAATTTTATTTTTCAAATACGCAATAGAGTTTGCATGTGAACTAGAGTTAGAACTTACAAGTTTTGTGTTGATGTTTCCACTAGAACTAGTCGTTGATTCAACAGGCTTCTCTAGTGGATATGAAGACGAAGAAGATGAAGAATGTACGTTTTGTCGAGCATCAATTTGTGATGAGGAAGATGAAGACCTGCTCTTTTTATCCTCCGGACTAGAGTATGAAATTACCGTCACAATTTGACTCTGTAGCTTGGGTTTTGACGTTTTTTTCTCCTTAATTTTACTAGCGGGAGCATCTATTAAAATTGGTAAGGACAAACTTTTGTGTAATTTAGTATTTGTGTCACAGTTACTATAACCAATGTCAGCCCCATTGTCCCATTCTAGTTTTCGATTTGACGTAATACTACTCGTAGGAGAATTCTGTTTCGGTTCCGCCACTTCCTCCAAGTCAGTTGGGGGTTCTTGGTCTTTCAATGTTTCACCACTTGCGTCCTCAATTACAATAATTGGTTCAGATTTTGCAACAATTTCATCGTCTTTAACAATTTGAGGCATGTACGACAAAGAAGTGCCAGAAAAGTACTTAGGGAGGTGTTTAGTTTGTGAATATTTCTTGTAATAATCGACGATTTGTTTTGAGATAGTGTCATGGTCTTCTTCGTCGCTCTTGTCCGAATCCATTTCAAACCATCAATCTATGATACAACAGGTAAGTGAATATTACAAAATATAAATCAATACTTACAAAAAATTCAAGGAAAAATAAGATTACAATTCAAAATTGTATGTAAACATAACCTCAAAAACTAAATAAAGCTTCGCTAAATAAAACAGTTTATAATTGTGTTATTTGAGTAAAATTTCTAACTGGCAATTTAAAAAAATTGTTCCATTTTCACAATCGAGTATTATTTACAAAAAACACAAAAGTATTACTTGACAGCTAATTTAATAAACAAACGTCATTTTAAATCTTAAACGGTGAAATTCTGCGCGCCAAATTCAAAATTTCTGTGACTTGTTCAAGTGAAAATTGGTAATTTCAATGGATGACGACAATGGTAACTCCAGTGGTTGCATAATTTTCCAATTTCATTATTTTTTTACTTTAGAAAAGAGTTTGTGCTACATTGAAGGAACTGTCGTTGACAAAAACGCCTCAAAAGATATAACCGAACTGCACGAAAATGTCTGGTACAGAATGAAACCCCCAAAGCAGTCTTCAGAGACCTACACTTCTTTTGTAACGGCAAGACAAATTGACTTAATCAGAAATATGCTGTTGGGTAAAACTGCCCTCAAACCGTTTGAAGTGAAGACGGAAAAAATCAAGGAGACGCGCCCTCCACCAAGGAGGGATCCTGATATTATACCCCCTTCGATAAATAAAAGGAAATCGTCGGTTAAATTCCTCAATAAATCAATTTATGAATAGATGTAATTAAATAAAAATCAATAAAAAATGGAAAAACAACACCAATGCAATTTTTAAACTTTTTATTTATTTATTTGTCTGGCTTAAAAATCCTCACTTGAGTTGGAGTAACGTGTCATTTTCTCTTTCAAAGCTCTGGAACTGTATAGCAGCCTGCGACGGGCTCTTTGAAACTCATCTAAACTTTTCCTTACCATGTCTAATTCACATTGTTCTCTCTCATTCAGATCGACATTTCTGGAACACTAAAGAAAAAATTAAAGGACTATGGATTTTCCAAAATCACCTGTGATGGTGTAGGTGAAAAGCAAGGAGGTTGATACTGAAAAAACCAAAATTAATTATTTTTATTTTAATTTTGGTAGTATATACTTGGCAAGGTGGAGAATAAGTACCACACCGACTAGGTTTTGGTAATGAACATATTGATTGAACTGGAGGACATGTACTACCAACTGTACATCGACTAGGTCTTGGTACTGAACATAATGGCTGTACTGGAGGACATGTACCACTAGGTCTTGGTAATGAACATAATGGCTGTACTGGAGGACATGTACCAGTAGGTCTTGGTAATGAACATAATGGCTGTGCTGGAGGACATGTACCACCGTCTGTACATCGACTAGATCTTGGAGCTGCACATGACGGCTGAACTGAAGAACATGTACCACCGTGTGTACAACGATTAGGTCTTGGTACCGCACATGATGGCTGAGTTGGAGAACAGGTACCACCATGCGTGCAACGACTAGGACTTGGTGTCGAACACAATGGCTGAACTGGAGGACATGTACCACCTTGAGTACCACACTGATTAACTGCAATTGGCCTTGGCGGAGTTACAGGCGACTGTAATGTTATTGAGCAAATTTGGAAATACATATTCTATGCAGCAATTACCATTATTCTTTGTTGTTGAAATGAACTATCACTTTGAGGTTCGATCTAAAATAATGACATTGTAAATATGTCGAGTTGGTTTTTAAATTAATCAGTAAATTTACCTCTTGTTGCAGTTGAGGTTGTGAGCATGTGGGCCGTCTCGTTGTTTCAATTCGAACAGAACAGTCATGTTGGAATTGTAAAGGGTTAATATCTGGTTTAATCACTAGTACTGGTGCTGGTTCTGGTGTTGGTGCTGGTGCTGGTGGTTTCTGTTCCTGAAAACAAGTTTAAAAATTGATTTGTTAATCTATGATTCGTACCTCTGGTGGGTCGTTCGATGCCGGTACGAAATGATCCTCTGCTCGCATATGCGCAACTTCTCCTCCTTTCCTCTTCAATATAATAATGGGAGCTCTTTGGTACCTCCTGGGAATTTCTATAACCGCCGCTTCTCCGGGTAGGATCATCCCTTTCGGTATAACAAGCTGTTGGGTGGCATCTTTTTTTCTTCTGTGCATCACTAGAAATTTTCATCCGATGACATATTTGACAATAGGCTGACTTGATTTATTGCCCCATAAACTTCCTTCTAGCACTTTGATACCGTTTCAAGTTTGATAAGATCGTCTCACTTTCCACCGCATGCTCGCCGTCTATAGCTTGAAGGATTTGTCCCGCCGACCCTGATGCTGTCACGTCAAAAACCGCATCGGCACGGTATAACGCCCCGCAAGGCGCTGGACTCCCCTCTAATGATCTCGAAGGAGACAATGGTTCAATTCCCGAAAAGTTTGGCCAGGATGAACTCTCCGGAACGTACGAGGAATCCTCCATGTAGGGCACTGAGCTTGCAGTGTAATACCTTGAGGATCCTCCACTTGAAGCCCTTGAAGCCCCCGAAGCTATACCACTAGGAGAAGAAAAGCCAGAAACATGGGGAGCACACGGACCCGAAACCATGTTACTTGGGGGAGAACCTTGTGAAATTCGAGAACCAGATGGCCCCGAAGCTATATTGCTTGGAGTTGACATTCTGGAAATAGTTCCTCCGTACTTGCCCGAAACCATGCCACCTGGAGAAGATGCTCGCGAAAGATGGGGGCCACATGACGGTCCCGATGCGAAATCAGACGGAGTCGATGCACGCGAAAGGTGGGGCCCACAAGGACCTGACGCTAGACTACTCGGTGGTGAAAATTTGGAAACAGTTTCATATGCCCCTGGAGCCAATCTACTTGGAGTTGATACTCTGGAAAGGTGGGGGCCACAGGGGCCTGACGCCATTCTACTTGGAGGTGAAGTCCCAGAAATTCTGGATGAAGGTGATTGGATCGGAGTTGATATTTTACTTCGTGGTAAATTAAAACTGGGTCTTCCAACTGGTGTTGACATTTTTTGTGGAGAGAGGTTAAAGCTCGGAGTTCCCACGTTAATGTTTGTTGCCATTTCTGGACTAATGTTGACATTGACTTGGCTCGGACTTGCATCGAGAGCAGTGTGGTATGAACCACTACCACTTGGTGCTTTAGAAAGTGTTGAAGGTCGTGATTCATTGTAGTAGTGGACAGTTGAACCATATTTGACTGATCGGGCTTCACTTGGGTCAAATTTGTGTTCCATTTGTGCATGCCTTCTATGCTCTTGTGCGTTGAGAGGGTATGACGTGTTATGTCGTTGCACACGTTCAGGGCGTGCAGCTACAGGTGGAGGACATTCAACTCCTGAGCAATCTGATTGGTCGAAATTACACCAGAACTCTTCGTGTTTCCTTTGCTCTTCTTCCGTTAAAGGGTATGACGCGTGGTGGTGTCCGTGTTGTATGCATTCCGTATGCTGCATACCATCGTTCGGTGGTGGCAGGTCGCCTGGACTGTCACAGTCGAATTCTGAGCATGCTCTCGGATCGAACGTACACCCGAACATATCATGCTGTTTTTGCTCTGCGGCATTAAGAGGGTGCGTTACATGGTGATGCCCATGTTCTATACATTTTGAGTGTGCCCCTACAGGAGCGCTGTAGGCATTACGGAATGAGGAACCAGACGAAGCGCTGCTGGTGTAACCGCCGGATGAATCGGAACCTTCTAATGCTCCAAAGATGGCCAACCCAAGCTGGTTTACGGGGGTTCCACCCTCGCCAATGTTACCGAAAAGATTGCGTGGGACAGGCATTCTGATTCAAAGTAACAGCCAGTTCACAAATGTGTGAAAAGGTTTCGCACTTGGATGGAATTTTCACTAAAATTTTGATGAATGGATTTGATTTTTGACGATGTTTAATATTGACAGCAGGCTGCTATGAAAGAAGTAGTTACGTATAATATACTTACGTAACTTCTTATTTTAGCTCTTCATCGTTGAGTCTGCAATATCCGATATATAATTCCTCATAAATTAAAAACAAAACAGTTGCAAAAGTTATCCCACAAGTGGTATTAATAATAAATTATTTTTTTTTACAATTGGAGACTTTTCAGAACAAATTAGTACACACAAAAATTGGCTTTCAGGAGATGTAATAAAATGTAATCGACATAGTAGATATTGCAGAATCAGCAACGTCTTATTATTAATATTATTCCATATCCTAAATAATGTTTTAAATTTCTCAAAAAATAAAAAATAGATATTATAAAAAAAATAGAATGTGTATTTGTTTAGTTAGTTTAGTTGTCTCATATATATTTTTGTTTTTATTCAAAAAATATCTTGAACATTGTTTTGCTAGTCTCAAGTCACAACGAGAAAGAATAAATATTTGCTACTGTTTGTTCAATTCTTACCTCTGGTGGGTGGGTCTTTCTATACCAGTACAAAATGATCCTACGTTTGCGTTTGCGTAACTTCTTCTCTTTTCCTCTTTAGTATAATATTGTGTGTTTTCTTGGTGTCTTCTCGAAATTTCTGTACATGGTGTTTTTCCGAGTGGGAACTTTTTTTTGATTATAAGAAGGTATTGGGTGGTATCTATCTCTTATTTTTTTCTATATATAGGCATCTATTGGGCCAAAAATTTTCTTCTGGCACTCTGATACCGCTTCAAGTTTGATAAAATTTTCTCTTTTTCCATCGCATGCTCATTGTCTAAGGCTTGTAGGATTTGTCCAGTGGACCCTGAAGCCGTCACGCCATAAACCGCATCAGCTTTGTATAACGCCCCACAAGGCGCTGGAGATCCTTCCAACGACATACTTGGCAAGGATGAACTTCCCGTAACGTACAAAGAAGAACTCTCCATAGAAGGTGAGGAGCTTGCCGTGTAATACCTCGAGGATCCTCCACTTGAAGCCCCAGAAGCCATACCACTCGGAGAAGAAAACTGAGAAATATGGGGACTACACGGACCCGAAACCAAGCTACTCGGAGGTGAAGCTCGGGAAATCCGAGAACCAGATTGCCCCGAAGCCATACTACCCGGAGTAGAAGCTCGGGAAATCCGAGAACCAGATTGCCCCGAAGCCATNACCAGATTGCCCCGAAGCCATACTACCCGGAGTAGAAGCTCGGGAAATCCGAGAACCAGATTGCCCCGAAGCCATACTACCCGGAGTAGAAGCTCTGGAAATCCGAGAACCAGATTGCCCCGACGCCATACTACTCGGAGGTGACGTTCTGGAGATGCCACCGGAAGAAGATGCTCGGGAAGGATGGGGTCCACACGATGAACCTGATGTGTAACCAGACGGAGTTGATTCACGGGAGATATGGGGGCCGCGAGCACCCGACGCCATTCTGCTTGGAGGTGAAGTCTCTGAAATTCTTGATGAAGGTTTCGGAGTTGATATTTTGCTTCGTGGTAAATTAAAACTAGGTCCTCCAGGTGTAGATGTTCCTATGTTGATGTTTGTTGCCATGTCTGGGCTAATATTGACATTGACTTGACTCGGTCTTGCACCTAGACTTGACGGTTCCGAAGATGTTGAAGGCCAGAAAAATTGTGATTCTTCCCAATAAGAGACAGTCGATTCGCGTTCGGCTATCTCTTCGAACCTTCTTTGCTCGTCCTCGGTGTAGGGGTACGTCCTGTGATGATAGTCAGGTTGCATGTATATAGACTCGGCATTACACAACATAGAGTCTTGTATGCCACTGCTCTGCGGAGACATGTCGCCAGGACTGTCACAATCGAATTCTGAGCATTCTCTCGGGTCGAACGAGCACCCGAACATTTCGTGCTGTTTTTGCTGTGCTGCATTAAGGGGGTAGGTAATATGGTGATGTCCATGTTCTATGCATTTTGAATGCCCTCCTGCAGGGGCGCTGAAGTAGCTAGGGTATGAGGAATCAGACGATGCATAGCTGCTGAAACCCCCGGAGTTTTCCATTGGGCTAAGAACAGCCAAGCCAAGTTGGTTTACAGGGGATTCACCCACGCCGAAAAGGTTTTGTTGGTAAGGCATTTTGATTCAAAGTAACAGCCAGTTTACAAATAAATAAATAAGTTTTTTACTGAAATTTTGATGAATGGACTTGTGATGTTTGACAGAATTTTGAAACTGACAGCAGGCTGCTTTTTTATGTATCTTCTTGTTTTACACAGATGTTTACTAAAGACTTCGCAAAAGACTAAAAAACCACATTTAATTTATATCTTCACATAGCCACAATTTCAATCAAGTATGTCTAAAGGAAGCTCTCTAAAATTTGCATGTAGTTCAAATGAGACTACAAGAATTGAGCAATTATTTTACTTCAAAATTATTTTTAAAAATTATTCACAATAATGTGCATTTGTTTATAGATACTTTATTCAAAGTAAAAATTTTAACAAAGTGTTTTAGAATAGTTTTTTTAATAACTTTTAGACACTCGTATAAAAATAAAATTTACACAATTCATTACATAATTGTTTTATTTCATCTCATAACGGGATAATATCTGTTCCTATAAGGTCGCTCTTCGTTCGACTCTGGCGGTTCCATAGCTTCTCGAGTTTGCCTTTGGGCTATTATAACTGGTGTTTTTTTCAAAGATCGAGGTATCTCAATAATCGTCGTTTCACTAGGGTTGATGACTCCTTTCGGAATTATTATTTTCTGTCCTTTATTGCTTTCCATTTTCACTACTAATAATTTAATATTTTTTAAAACTCAAACATTTGACTTTTGACAGTAATTTATTTAACTGACAAAGGGACTCTAGATTACAATGCACTTAAAACCTTGCAGTATTATCTTTCATACCAAGAGGCAATCTTCCCTCCAACGCATCTTTTACCATCTGCATTATCTCGCGCTGTCTTCGATAATGCAAAGCTTCGATGAGTTTTAGCATAAGTGCTTTTTCTCTAGCATCTTTAGTTGCTAAATCTTCATCATTTTGCTTTCGCATTTCGGTCATGGCGAGTATACGCTGGGCGATTTCTTGCGGGCTGACGTTAGGGTCAGAAAGCGAAGAGCATCCCAGAGATACAAACTTGCCACTATCTTCGGGAACTCCCAGGAAATGTCTCTGTTCTTCTTTATAATCATTAGCCCGTGCAGGTTGGACCATGAGGTTCTGTTTGGGTTGTCCACCACGAGGGGTACAGCCTTGTTTTATGCGGACAGGGGATTTTGGAGTTTGGACCTCGTCTGTATATCTCAACCAGGATTCACCAGGAAGAGGTGTGTAGTCTCGTGGTGAGATGGGAGTGCCTTCCACAACGCCCTCAGGCCATGGTACGATCTGTCCATCTTGTATGTAAAGTTTACCCTTTAGATGTGAAAATCTAGACGGTTTTTTGGCGCTTGGGGACACTTTCGGTAACTCAACTTTCTTAGTTGGTGAAGGACTATCAAACACGAGTTTTTGTCTCACGTTTGGATCTGGTGCTGTTTGTAGACGGCGTTTTGGTGCAGGTCTGGCGACTTGCATTTGTGGAACTCTTTTAGGAGTTGCAACAGGTGGTGGAGCAGTAGAAGCAGTTGGAAGAGTTATTATAAGTGTTGGGGCTCCACAGGAATTTAGTAAAGGTGAACATACGACAACAGGGGCATTTTGTTGTTGAAAGTCTGGCATTGAAGGCATGTAAATTACAGGTGAATTTGTTTGAAAACACATAGGCATGCCTCCAGGCATGTTTGGAAACATTTGGTTTTGTAATACACCGCCTCCACGCAAACGAAATTTTGATGCATTGTGCATTATCAGGTTGTTTATATTACAATCGTATTTTAGCTTATTGTTTAATATGTTTTGAGTAGTTAAAAAATTGCATTTCTCTTTATTTAGTCCTGAAACCAAAAATCCATGTTAGGTATTAAAGAAATTTTTGTTTTAATCGTACCATTTCTAAAATTGTGTTTATTAGAAGTTTTAGGAGATATTACCATCACTAGAATTTTGTTTGATAAATCGAAACTTTATAAAACGTTAAATTATTTGACAGTGACTTGCATGTGACACAAAAATATTGTCGTAAAAACTTCAACAAAAAAAAAAAATTTAGACAAATTTTATTATATGAAATATGATGCTACATGAAAGTATTGTGTACTTTCATTTTTGGCGGTCGATGTTTCTTAGTATATATGTCTAAGAAACGGTTTTGCACCAATTCTGCTTGTCTCGCTTTTAATTCATTATCTAAACCCAACAAGAATAATTGTTTTAGAACTTCTTTCCTTTTGGTTTCTTCATCAGGAGAAAATTGTTGTTGTTGCAATTGCTGTTGTTGACGCATTTGTTGTTGTTGCTGCGATTGTTCTTGCATTTGTTGTTGTTGCATTTGTTGCATGTACCGTAAACGTCGTTGTTGTTGTTGTCGTTCAAACTCTTCTATCTCTCGCCGTTGAATTTCTTCTTCAGTTTCTGGTGGTTCTGATTCCAATTTTCCTACTTCTTCAATACTCAACGCATTATTGTGTTCCTCACTTACAGATTCGTCGCTGCACGTGCAATTTGCTTCTGCCATTGAATGAAACACCATTTCCTTCGGTTCTTCTGCTTTAGGTTCTTCTACTGGCCTTGGCTGTTTCTTCGGAATGTGGGGATAAAACATTTTATGAAGCCGTGCTTGGTTAAAGGAACTTTTAAATGGGGGTGAACCAAAAGGACTATCAGATATAGGATCGATCGTTCTTTGATCAACATTTGAATCGGCGATAAACGTACTGTTTGCATCTGGGAAAAATACTTTTCCTTCAGGAGAAAGTTCATTTATTAGGACTTGTTGGGATGGAATTTGGTCAGTGGGTGTTTGCATTTGTTGGAAATTTTGAAGCGGAACGATTATTATAGGGCCGTTGCTCAAAGGGGAGTTGTACATAAGTGCAGGAAAGCATTGGTAAGGAATGTTGGGAAAACACTGATGTTGGTAACCCAATGGTGGCATACACATGGGGTAGGGTGGATAAAGAGGGCACGGGGGGAATGACCCTCCCCGTAAACGCAACATGTCGTCTTGTTTTGATTCTACAATCAGATTAACAAATAAACTAGAAATTTACAAGTTTTAAGATGCACCATGATTACTAACAATTTTTGAACTCATTGTAAAATGTAAATTAAATATGACACTGTCAGTGTCACCATGAAAAAAAAAACACAAGCAACGACAAAAATTCTTTTATTCCACAAAGTGGTGAAAAAAAATATTTTAATTGAGGATCTAGTGCATCAAGGGATCTTTTCACTTTCTGCGATTGAGAGAAGTGGAAGACCGATCATAACGTGAAGAAGCCGTTAAATATAAATCATCAGTATCTTGCGTCTCGTCTTTATCACTTTCTTCCCCAAAACTCACATTAGTTCGCCTATTACAAGAGGCATTATTTGAACAATTAGTTTTATTCAAATTCCAATTGTCGTCGTAATCCCGATCTACACTACTTCTTCTAGTACTTTCAAAATCTTTATTGTTATTTTTTGAAAATGACGTTCTCGTTCTATTTCTTCCATTTGAATCACTCTCACGTCTTCTATGTGTGTCGTAACTATTATCAACATCAGGTATCAAACTCCTTTTGGAAGTGTAGGGCGGTTCATAACAGGGCTTCGTGAACGAATACGAGCAACTACTGTCTATACTACACGATGGTTTTGCTTCAATTTCTCGCTCGACGTCATCGAGAGTCGATTTGGCAAGTGAGAAAAGCATAGGTTTAAGAATTTTATCGATTTTGTCATTGAGAAGTTTGCTAAGCTCGGCATCCTCGTTCCGTGATCTTGACGGCATAGTAGAAAATCGATCGGTGTAAGGAGGAACATAGCTTCTATTAATCGGGGGCGGAGGGATATAGTAATTTGCTGGAGTTGTATACTGTCCATATCTCGGATGCATGAAGCTTCTTTCGGACGAGAAATTGAACGAACAAGATGCTCTAGCACAAATAGGGCAAATGGGAGAATGGACCTCGACATTTGGAATTGAAGATTGCATAGCGCATGAATTTGAAGTTTGCTGTGAGCTTGATTGGTAATTTCTACTTGAGGGAAATTGGGTTTGACAACTGGTATCTACTTTTAATCTCAAAGCGTCCAGAGTAGGTGTCGAGACTGGTGGACGCAAAGTCGTGTTATTGAGGGTCCCAGGGAAACTTTGCGACTGCAAGTTTGCGGAGGCATTTTGCGTTTGCAAGGTTTCGATTCGTGTTTTGTCGTTGGTGACATCTTTGAAATTCCCACGATAAGGCTCTACCGAAAAGCAGGTGCCATCATCAGTAGGTGCCTTAACAATTAAATTGCTGTTTGTGTCTAAGCTAACCGGTATCTCAATTATGTTGTGTTCGTTAGGATTAATGATGCCTCTAGGGATTATAATAGTCCTAAAAGCTCGCTTCTTTTTTTCCCCACTACATAAGCCCATAATTTACACAAAAATTTTACTCAAAATTTGTCAAAACTGACATTTACAAAGACTACTAAGGTTAAGGATTTAATAACATGGTAGACAAGTCCCCAGCAGTGGGAAGATTCGAGGCTTCTTGCACTAGGGCTCGTCTAGCTTTCTGAAACTTTTCGAGATTTTCCATAATGCGATTAAGTTCAGCCGATTCCAATTGTGATAATGAATTCATGACATCATTTGGAGTGATTTGAGCCCCACCAGAGTCAGAATCGAATCGTTTGTAAGCGCCAGAGTCGGAAGAATCAAAACGTTGGTAACCACCACTGGAAGAGCCAGAACATGGACAAGCGTCTTCGGGAGTTGTCGAATAATAAGACACTTCCTCGGAAATTTGCGTTGTCGTCCCTCTGGGACTTCCCGACGAAACAGATCGACTATCTAAAACCCAACCGATTTAGAGAAAATTAAAAACAAATGGTTTATTACAATAGGATTCAGGAGTGCCCATTGAAGATGAGGCATATTTTTGCACCGAAGGGGGAGTCCGCGCCGGAGAGTTCCCCCGAGATGAGGCAGCCCCAGGTCTGAAACCCTGATAAGGCGAAGCCGCCCGTCTCACAGGAGAGCTTCTTTTGCCACTTATCATTGCACCACTTGGTTTAGGTCGAGCCACCACAGTTGGGACATTTTGCAAATTACCGGGGATTTCAATAATTGTAGTTTCATTTGCATTTACGAGTCCTTTAGGGATTACAACTTTCTGAGTCCCCATTTTTTTATACGAGAATTTTGACAAACTTTTCACACTTCAAAAAAATTCAACAGACAACTTGACGATTTTTTCCTGTCATCAAAATTTCAGTCATTACAAAAATGAGCTCCCCACCAGGTACCCCCAAAAAGAAACTATCGCAAACCATTTCTTTCGTTAGAAACACAAACCCTGAGATTTTGCAAATAACTCCACGAGCTGGTGGAGTTGTCAAAATTCCAACTTCTACTCCAAAAAATGTAAGGGTCGAAGATGATGTTTTTGGGATTGAAAAGGAGTTCCAAGCTCACATTGAGGAAAAAGTTTCAAAGGAGTTTAGGGTCCAAACTGCTCTTGATGAAACCTGCTCTTTGGATTCAGAAGATATGACCATGCCCAATCCTACGAAAGATGCAATGTATATGATTGGAGTCAGTTTAAGTTCAATTATGATGATGGCTAATAACCAAAAACTATCGAATGAACATCTAGAATGGACGACTCGCTGCCTGGAATGTATCAAAGACGATTTTGGGAACCATCCACCAAACGTCCAAGGAATTTTAAATCACCTCAAATATTTGAATCGACAGTCTGGAGGTGGTAGCCCACCACCTCCGGAACCCTCCGGTGGTGACGAAGGTGGTGCTAAAGAAGAAGAAGACGAAGAGCTAGGAGAACAAACAATCAGGTCTACAACAAGGGTTCGAATGGGAAGCAGAGACGGCTAAGTTGCCTTTGAAACAATAAAAATCTAATCAAAAGTCAATGTCATTTTAATTGTCACCAGTGTTCGTTGTTAAAATTCTCGTGAAAAATTCCCCTAATGGCAGAAAATAAAGGTATTAACGCTAAATTTAAAACCAAGGCGAGGTTTCATCAAAAGTTCTCTTGGTAAAACCACGCCTTCAATACTCTATTTATATTTCCACATCGCTTTAGGGAATTTTTCATCTCGGGGTAGCGGTAAGTTGCATATATTTCTGCTTGAATCACTGTCTCATCCACAGTATTTCAGATGCCGTGCCGCCTATTCTGCGTGATCTCAGATCAATCATTGATTTAATCAGTGAAGACAAACTCACTTTTACTCAACTTCGTGATTTAAAACACGATTCTTTTGACCTTACGCGAGAAGAGTCTATGTTTCCCATGTTGCCGAAACGTCACACATTTCACGAATTTGAAGACGACGACGACGGTCCTTACATTATTTTCCACAATCACAAAACATAATTATGTGTTTTCAAACAATACACAAAACGGGATATAAAAGACTAGCATCCTGGCACATCGATTATAGATTCTGTCACCAACCTTTAAAACAAAATATTGTAAAATCCATTTTAACACACAAATCAATACAATACCACAGAAATCAATTACAAATAAGTATTTCAATCTTTTATTTATATTCATTGAAATATTTTTACAGAAGGAAGTGATGACATAGCACCAGAGGCATATGAAGATGCTCAACAAGAACCACATGATGTTGCACCAACACTTGAAGAATCTGAATCACCAGTTGAAACACCTGAAATAACACCAACTAAGGAACCTGAATCTACAAATAAGCCACCCGAAGGAGCAGTCAAAACGTCTGACTCACCATTCCAAGGCTGGGAAAAAAAGTATATATAATTTTTTTAAATCCCTCATCTACTGGCTTTCTATATTTTCTAGAAAAAAAGTTCTAGTAGATCCCAACGCTACAATAAAGGATATTTTAGAAAACTCAAACTATCTGACAGCCCTTCCGGTTATTCCCGAAGGAGAAACTTCTTATAAACCAATTTTGTATACCTTTCGAGTGAAAGCAAAAGGGAGAGCGACTAAATTGAAACATATTACAACAAAACCGCCACCGTTTTATTTACAATTTGATCACGCTATTGCTGTTATTTGGACGTTGTTTAATAAGGAATCAAATAGGGATAATCTTGGTTAATATATTTTTCCACAATTTAATAATTTTGACAATTACTTGTTTTTAAGGAATCGTTCAATTGCAATGGGCCCTTCACTTCTTGGAAGGTATTTATAACGATGAGGGAGTACACCCTAAAGACGTACAACTTTGCATTACCACCATTCAGGATTATCTAATCGCTGAATATGCAGAAATGTCTGAAGAATCTGTTATCTACGGTCATTCTACTTATGGCGATTTTATTAAAAAAGAAGCCATAGATGCTCCATTTTCTCCGAATTATTCACAAATGATCGAAAAATGTCCAAAGATTAGTAGTGCTGAAGGAGACGATTCAATGATGCTTGATCAAAATCTCATAACAGAGTTAGAAAATGTGAAGAAAGTTGTTGGAATTGAATCTATTGATTTGACAAAAGTTGTCTCAAAAGATCAAGTAATGAGTATTTTGAACGAATGGAAGAAAGAACAAATTGGGAAGATTCAAGACGAGTTGAAAATGTTGTACGTTGTTGAGGATATGTTGAAGAACTCGGATTCGCAACATTTTGATGGTTACACAGACGAGTCGCAGTTTGAAACTATATTTCGGAAAAATAAATAGAAGTTAAAACTTAATTGTTGTTTTACTTTGTTATATGTAAAGCAGCAACCAGTAATACACTGTCGTAATTTATGTTCCATACCAATCAAAAATAATACGCCAATTTTATGCAATATGTTTATTATCTTGTGATTATTGCGCCAGAGCTTGTTTACATGTTTATTTTAAAAATAAAGTTTCTTAAATAAACAAGAATAATAAAAAATATTCGATTCGTTGGTTTTCGGTCAATTCCGTTTGAGTTACTTCAAATGTCAATCGCTTAGACAGAGATACCAATACAAATTCTCCAAGTGCAAAAAGAAAAGCACCACATATAGTTGTCAAACATTGGCAAACACATAAAAAATCAGTCTTATTTTTCATTCATTCGGTTTCAAACACACGAATTTGCCTTGAAAAGGGAGGGTCAGTTTTTGAAAGTGTATTTAAAGGATTTTAGAAGAAAATTGTGAGTGATGGCTGCTACAGTTAAAAGTGTTGCAAATAGATTTTCCATCTTATCGAATTTGAAAAGGCTGACCCCAAGAACGTACTATACTTACACCAATGAACCTGCACAACCTATTAAGGGGAAAGAACCCAAATGGACCTCCTTAGAAAATGCATTTGAAACTTTAAAATCAGGTAAGATGGATAAAGTTCACTCTGTATTGTGTTCATGAACTTTGACCGGGTGAGACAAGTGGCAATAAGCCAAAGTATTGACTTAATTTCGATTGTTGTATTTTGAAATTTCCAATTTAGGGATGTCCAATATGTTTTCTTACAACTGGGGGACACTTTGTGTCAAAAATTATACCTTTTTGAGAGCCCCCATCAGAAGTGACAACAAATTATAATAAATTGTTAAGTTTAGGTTATTAAATACAAAGGTCACAGGATAAGAGCTTTTGTTATAATATGGTTATAATGGAGCTCTTGCCGAATATCATTAGTTTTGTTTGTTAATCTTCACAATTATTTAAATTTTCAAAAATTTAAATTATCATCTGGTAGTGGAAAAAGTATTCTGACCGACCCCCCCCCCCTCCAAAAATTGTACAACTGTCTTTATTTACATGAAAACTTTATCAAATGTTTAGTTTCTGATTATTTCAAACGTCATACCTATCCAGTCAATCAATGATCAATATTCAATCCAATTCAAAGTTTTTGTTTCTGACCTGATTTTTAAGTTAAGTTTTATTTTGAAAATTTCGTTTACTAAAAATATCTAAAAATATTTGATTATGCTGTTTTTCGAAAGTTGTTTTTCATCTAATTTTAAGTATATTAATAAAACGCGTCTGTGGTCTGAATTTAAAACCAGTTTGTGGCTGGAACTCCACAGATAATGTGTATTTTATACATACTCTATTCCAAGGAAAATTAACTTTTCTTTTAAAAGGCAATTACCATATTTTGCAAGTGTATTATTCAACATGAATTGCTATTTTTGTTACACATTTTATTACCAACCACCTTATTTTGTATTACATATTGAGGAATTCTCAGGAATAAAAATATGCATCAAAAAAAAAAAACCCATAGAAGTTATTTTTCAATTAAATTGTCATTTTTAATTAATTTCTTTTTAAAATCCTTTTTTCTATGAGTCTGACTTTAATGTGTAATAACTGTTTTACCTGGAAGTTAATGGTTTAGCTAATCACCTTGTTATTACAGAAATTTTATTGGACTTTGTAATAAAGTTTAAAAGATTATAGAAGTGTACAAAAATGTTATCACAATGGCAATGATAATAATTAAAGAATAACCATTATCTTAAACCATAAACAAATGATAAGAGTTTTATAATTCGTTTAAAGTTATGAAACTGAAAATTTCTATAAGAATTAGAAATACACTACATATAATAAAAATATCAACTGATCGGTTAATAGTTATTTATTATTCAAAACGATAAAGAAATTGTTTATCTACGAGTGAAAAGGTTAAGTTTACGAGTGACGAAGTCACGAGTAGATAAACAATCTTGTCGTCGTGTATAATAACAATCTTGTCGTCGTGTGTAATATTTTGTTTTATTTTGTACTCACCTACCAGAATTTCTTGAATATAAACAGTAGATAAAAATTACTTTATTTCACTAGACGATAAAAGACTACTTTTCTATTGAAATTAGTTGATAAAAGCACTCTTTAACATTGAGTACAAAATAAATATTATTTCTGATTATAAGTAAAATATGGTCTTTGACTCAATTTTTATGCGTAACAATTCAGTTTTTAAATTCAATATGTAAAAAAAAACAGTAACTATCCATTAATTATATTATGGACAATGCCTCTTGGGTCAAAGTTGCACAGTTTATTGTTATCTATTCATATTGCTCGAACGTCTATCTCAAAAAATTGCTCAGTTTTGTTCAAAGAAATGGTTTGGGGCGTTTTTCACAATATAGTCTGTATTTTGGGTAGAAGTTTTTTGGAAATAACTTAAAACGAAGTATTGTTATTTTTTTTTTTCGTTGATATAAAAATATTGGGCAGTAACATTTAAGACAAATGAAAACCTCTAGCAAATGGAATAATTGAAGAAAATAGTAACTCATGTTTTCAGCAGTTTGATTGTATTTAACGTAACTAATTAATTACCAAGTCAAAAATAAATATTTGTTGAAGAGATATATAATCTTTCTGGAATTTTTGGAATAAAAATCTTTCTTTGCAATTGCTACAAATAAAACACGTATTTTTTTCTTATTTCAATATTTGAGTACCTACTGCATTTCGTAACATATTCGTCTGTTTACAAGTGTAACAATGCATGTTATGTGTGCCTAGTTCAATAAAAACAATTGAACATAATGAAGTGTAATTACGTAATGGCAACAACATCCGAGATCAATTTATTTTTTTTTTTGAAAACACCGTTTTAGGACGAAACAAAAAAATTTTGTAAAGTAAAACAAAATTCAATAAGAGTAAATAGATAACTCAAACTCGTGACCACAAAATACATCTGATTAATTGATAAACGAGTGGACAGTAAACGATGTCCATGATGTAATCACAGGATTCAGTTCGTTGCGTGCAAAGATGTTTACACGAAATCGAATAGAACATAATAAATAAATGATCATAGGCGAGCTATTTTCAAGTAAAAAATTCTATTTGGCAAAGAATAGTAATCGCTAATGACGTCAAGAGATTCCCCTCGGAATGCAAAAATACTTCTACTGTTCTGTTTATTCGAATATTTTTAGAATCGTATTTAGTAAATCCTGAAATGATGACTGAGGAAAAAAAAATAGGCGTGTCTAACTACCCTTAAGACAGTTCAGATCCGTACTAAATATTTAATTTCTAGGGGACACCGTTTTTGTACAAGGGGCCGCCGCAACCCCCATTGATTTAGTTACTGCAATGACCGAATATGGAAAATCGAAGAAACTCAAAAATGTTACGGTGTGTCATATGCACACTGAAGGTCCTGCTGCTTACTGCGACCCTTCCTGTGAAGGCATTTTCAGGTAGTCTGCCCAAAATATTTTTTTCATAAATGATTTTAATTTGTGTTTCAAGATCGTTCTCATTTTTCATGGGAGGAAATGTGAGGAAAGCCGTAGCTGAAGGTAGAGGTGACTGTCTACCAATTTTCCTCTCGGAAATTCCACTTTTATTCTACAAGAAGATTTTCCAGCCCGAGATCGCGCTAATCCATGTAAGTGAAACATAAGCGAAAATAATTTTTCAAAGTTGGAAATTTAGGTTTCTCCACCTGATGATCATGGTTATTGCAGTTTGGGCACTAGTGTTGATTGTGTCAGAGCAGCCATGACAAACTCCAAGATGATAATCGGTAACGGTTATTAGTTTGTGTAAAAGTGAAACTAACAAAAATTGTTTGTAGCTCAGGTAAATCCGAAAATGCCTCGAACATTCGGTGATGGTATAATCCATATAAGTCACATTGACGTTGCTGTGAAAGTCGATTCTCCTTTACCACAACACGGCGGCCGCCCACCAACTGAAGTTGAATCGAAAATCGGCAATTTGATTGCTGAGAATTTGGTCACAGATGGGGCCACTTTACAAATGGGTATTGGTAACATTCCCGATGCTGTTCTCGCAGCCCTAACGAACCACAAAGATCTCGGCATTCATTCTGAAATGTTTGCCGGGGGTGTGGTTGATCTCGTCGAAAAGGGCTGCGTCACAAATAATAAAAAATCGATGCATAAGGGACGCATTGTCGGATCGTTCTTGATCGGCACACAGAAATTGTACGATTTCGTCGACAACAACCCCTTCATAGAAATGTTGGCCATTGATTACGTCAACAATACAAGTAAGTAGTTTTTATTTACGACACACAAAAGTAAAGTTGTGCTGTTATTTCAAGATCTGTATTTTACTCATATTTTTAGAGATTGTTGCGCAACAGCCTAGGATGACTGCGATCAATTCTTGCATCGAAGTTGATTTAACAGGACAGATCGTGTCTGATTCGATCGGAATACGGATGTATTCCGGTTTCGGAGGCCAAGTGGATTTCATCAGAGGCGCCGCTGAGAGTGTAGACGGTTTGGGGAAACCAATTATTGCCTTACCTTCCACGACAAACAAGGGCGAGAGCAAAATTTCGCCTTTAATTAAACAAGGTACTTGATTTTTTGTTATTTTTTAAATTTTAATGGTTTTGTGTAGGTGCCGGTGTGGTGACCACCAGGGCGCACGTCCATTACGTCGTGACCGAACACGGCATTGCCTACTTGTTCGGGAAATCTCTCCGACAGAGGGCGCACGCTCTCATCAATATCGCTCATCCCAACCACCGGGAGGCCCTCGAAAAATCCGCCTTCGAGCGCCTCAAAGTAATGCCCAGCGCTTAAATAATTTTTTTTCACAATTATTTTTTACCCGCAAAACAATAAGTTACAAAAGCTATAAACCATAATAAATTTTTATTAAAATCAGTAATTTGTACAATGTTAAAATTTAATAAAAATCACAACACAAACATTTGTTAGGAATCCCACCAATCTGGTAGAGTCCCGTTCGCTTTGGCCATTTCAGCGTTGCGATAAAACACTGAAAAGTCAACATAGGGTTTGACTTTGTTGTCGGAACCGATTTCTTTGATTTTTATCGTCCGGTTTGTGGAGGTACTTGTAGTATCGTTACTGCGAATTGTACTATTAGGTGAAGAGGCTGCTTCAATGAGGGTGTTTTGGGTCTGGTACGAATTTGAGGAGTTTGAAGAGGGCGTTGTGGGTGTTTTTATAGCGCGAGGCATGGGGTAGTTAAAATTGCGCAAAACTAGAGTTATATCCTCTCTTTTTGCACTGCAGGATTTGTCCGAATTTGAATTTGACATGTACCAGTCGTGGTGTAGTCTCACTGCCTTATCAACGACGGCTTGAGCGACCCCAGTCAAAGTTGCTTGTTCCCGGAATTGTTCAACAACGCATTGAGCAATGTATTTATTAACTTGATCAGTTCCTGTTGCCTCTTCTATACATTTGTACAACTCGGCAGTCATTAAAAGAAGAAATCTACAAGAGTCGTCAAGCACAATACCGCCGTGGATATCAGGTTCCGCAGAAACTGGTTCTTGAGTAGCTTTACTCAAATCCTCAAACTCTTTATAGCCTCCTTTTACCAGATAATTACCCAAACATCGGGTGTTTTCCTGATTACCCAAATACGTACCTGAAATCAACAGTTTTTTTATGTTTATTGCGATTTTAAACTTACAATTCCGCAAATGCTCCCGATTAATTCCAATTTGTGCCAACCTCAACAACTCATCCTCGTTCTTCAAATCATGGTCGACGCTCAACTGAACAACTTTTAACACAGAATTAGCATCAGTTTTGCATAACAATACGCGACAATTTCCGATATTCGCAACATATAATTTATTGTTATGAATCAAAGCGACGGCGGCAGCCGCTCCTGACGACAACTCACAATGGATTCTGTTAATGCTTTCAACAACATGGGGGGCCTTTTGATACGCCTCATACGAATTGGAGCTTTCAGGTAAATCATACTGTAGCCTTAATCTTTCAGCTAGTAAGTCTCCAATTGACTGTATATAACCAGTTTCGACAGAGACGAAAGCCTGTCTCATGATCTCCCTCACCTCATCATCAGTTCTTTTCTCAGCTAGTTGAGAGAAATAGATTTCTGCGGTCAATTGTGACGAGAAATGTGAGGCTTTTTGGCCCTCGTGACCGTCGAAAACTGCATACCAGCAAGTTCCATTGTTGAACTCGTAGTGGCAACTGCAGTCTTCATAAGGGTGGTCTTCTTGGGGGTTGCCGTCTTCACGGTAAATTTGATTGGTGGAGTATCCAATTCCGGTGTTTTTGCACACTGTCAACGCGTCGGTCCATGTCCCTTGACTCTTGTAAATTGTTTCGGTCGGCTTTAAGGGCTTCATAAATTTTTGACAAATATATTAACCTAAAAAATGTTGTGACGAGTTCTGACTGTTGGCAGCACTTCCTAGTGTAGATATCACGTGACCGGACGTCATAAATTAAATTGAAACACTTTGTATTTACCATGTATTTACTCCAAACATACAATTCGAGAGTGCAACTGTATTTTTCACTTTTAACAAATGTAATATTAATGAGGGGATTATCATAATTTTGCTTTAATTCATTATTATTTAGTAAATTATATCATCAGTGAATTTTGTGTGTCCAGCCTGTTTTCCCCTAAACCCGACCCACTTTTTTGTTGTGGTTGTGTTATTGTGACATTTGTGACGTTTCACTAGAAATTGCAGTAAAAATACCGTTATGTTTACAAAATTTCGTTAAATCTTAGCAAAACCAATAAATTCTCGTCAAAATGAACTAAATTAACGATGCCATAAATCTGGTACAAGTCAGGTAAGCTTGCTTGATTATATCTATAGTGACTAACATCGAAAAAGGCGCGATTTCATTAGAAAATAGCCCCAATTATGGTCTTGTTACAATGAAATCCATCCCATTATCATGTGCATTGTATGTTTAATTCTTTTGGGTTATGGCCTCGGTTTGCCCCTTATGTTTTTCAAGGTCTGGTTTTATGTCCCGGAACACCACAATCCAGACATTCTTGTCCACCTATTAAATTTAGAACGATAATAATAAACTTGTTCGCGATCCTTAGTGGATCGTTGCAATGTTACACTTTACACAGTATTAAAGTCAATGAACCAATCCTGCGATAATATTGTTTATTGAGGTTTTTTCCGGAACATTTTTGTAAGCCTAAGATTTTTTGTGGTTAATTTTCCTTGCATGTGGTACATTTCACAACGAAACCCTCCACTTGCGTTATTCACACAATAATAACACCGTTTCTTTACTAACACAAATCGATATTTCATCAAAACACCCTTATCTTTAATCACACGTTAATAAATTACTTTCATTTATCTGTTTTCCTCATCATTTCATTGATTGGAAGCTTTTGTTGTGTTTTTCTGATAGAAAAGAAAAATCGGAAAGATCGATTGTTATGCATTCTAAAAAACGATTGAATAGCTTTCCACGTGAACTGGTATTGAATTTAAAATCAGAATTTGACACAGATAATGCCATCAGACATTGGAGTTTAAATTCTTAAATACTTGTTACGTAAATTTATTGTCTCGTACAATAACAGAAACATACATTGGAACGTATTATTATTTCAGCTATCAATTAAATAATTCATTTCCTAATACATGTACACATGCACATATTTTATGAAGACTTTCACAATATTTATTATGCCATTATATTTATCGTTTTCACATTAGAAAAGTAAAACAATTTGTAAACTTAGCATTTGTTGTAAATTCATGTCAAAAATTATAATTTATTGAAATAATTTTAAAACATGAAAATGGTCAAGTTTCAAGCCCAAGTAATTTACTTTTAAGAACTATTAAATTCTCATTTAGGTACGGTAAAGTATTTCTGCTGATAAATGATAAACTACCACTTAGAGATATTAAACTTATTTGACCTTATAAATTATTTTAAGTCAAACATTATAATTGTTTTTAGCGTTTGTATTACGACGAAATTTTTAATAACCTAATTATTACCTACTCTTGGTCAGTGACTATAATTAAACTAATATACAATATAAGAAACTTCTATATTAATATAACAGTATTAACCTTGTTTTCGTTTGTTTTTATAATTAAATTTTAATATGGATTTTTTGTTTTTAATTAGTTGTTATGACAATCAAGGGGTGCACATTCTGTTTGTTCTTCTTTTACATTTTTTTTGTGAAACATCTGCAGTACTACTTATTTCATGACTTTGAAACTAAAATTTGGGAAAAGTAACACTGGTGAAACAACAAATTTTACAAGTTTTCTTAAAGTTAATTTTAAACGGAAGCTTTTCACTGACATGCAAAACTTTTAATCGAATGAAACTTACATCAGATTGTTCCGCGGTTTGTTACTTAGTTTGCATGTAACCGTTAGGTTGGACTAAATAATTCGAATATTCATGATTTATGAATCGCAAGCATATACCTACGTGGTGTATTTGTTGGAGTGTCAGGAGTGTTTAAGTGTTTTTTATGAATCACAAACGAAAATGTATGTATCATTTTTTTAGATATAAATTTCTAGTAAACCAAGTCCGATTTATTACTAATTTTAATGATTTTTGTCCTAATTACAAGTTTTCTAAACTTGTGTTCTGTAATGTCAACATCTCTAAAATTGTTTAGGTCAAACAATTAATAATGTAGAATGAAGAAAAAATTTCTTGTGATTATTTATTTTTTAACTTTTGGATACTTTGAAGGGATTTTTGATTTTCTATTTTTATAGAGTATTTATTTATCAAAACAAATTTTTGAAATTTTTATTCACAATGGTACGACTAATTGTAATTAAAGTATATTTTTCTTGTTACATTTGTTTTCAAATGCAAAAGTTAGTCAAGTTGTTAAGAAGGACAAGGGAGAAAGTTGTAGAGAACATTTTCTATAAAACAAACCACGCAGTCAGGTTTTGTCCTTTGAAACAATTTCTTATTCTGTTTCTGTTTTTAATTAATGAAAAGTTTTTGAGGCGATTTTTGCATTTTATGTTGAAATACATATTGCGTCTAATTTGACCTCTAGTTGTGCAAATTTTTCATTTAAAATGATTGATGTTTAAATTGTTATCGAACGCTATCCAGAATTTTTTCAAGCGAATATTTAACCTGATTTCTAATTGAAATCAATCAATTCATACAAGTCGACCACTTAAGTTCGTACATTTAAATAAATCATTCATCTTCTCGAACCGAACAATTGCCAATAACTAACCTCATAAATCATTTCTAATCTCCAAATTATCATAAACTATCTAATTTAAAATTAAAAAATGGTTGCAATATCCAGTTCATTAGAAACACTATTAGCATTTTTGTAAATTGTTACCAATCAGCTTGTTATTATTCGCAGGGTACACAACACCATGGACTCCCTAAGCCTCGACCCCTACGAGCAACAACTCTTAACCGTCTTCGACAGCTACGACCACGACCACCTTGGCAGCCTGGACCGCGAGGGTCTCACTCAACTATGCCAAACCCTCCAACTCGAAGAACAATCAACCGACCTCATCCAATGCCTTCTCAAAGACAAACATTCCCGTGCAACATTCGCAGAATTCAAGGACGCCCTTCTCACCCTTCTTGGCAACATGCAACACAAGAAAAACAGCGACGATTTGAAAAAAACCGAAAACGGATCGCCAGACCGCGAAGTTTCCCCGAAATTTATTTACGGCTCGAAAAAATACGGGAGGAGGTCGCGACCTCGCAGCGACGAAATTTCAAACATGCTCGACGAACAAAACGATTTGAATTACCTGAATAAAAACTCGAATGCGGTCCAACGGTCGAATTCGCAAAGCGAAGTGTCCAATTCGAAAAAACGCAAAACTAATTACAAGCTGAAGAGATGCACGTCTCTGCCGGCAACGCAGCGAATCGTCGGTAATTTTGTCGCGAATAATTTGAATAACGAAGCTGAGATTGTCTACACTGAGGAGATGTTAAGGGAAGCGTGGAAAAAACTCGGGGTCGGAAAAGACGGTTATCTGAATCAGAATGAGTTGGTTCTAGTTTGCGATGCTATTGGGTTGCATAAGTTAGCCAAAGGTGTGATAAGGCAATTGTCGGATAAACTAAGCGTCGATTATGACCACAGGATTAGTTTTCAAGAGTTACTCGAGGCCTTGCAGATGGATGAAACTTGGTCTGAAGTTTTAAATTCGACACCGGTCAATAATGACGTCACTTTAACTGTAACAAATGAGATTTTCCCAGATTCGCGAACATTCCGATATGTTACGTTGGGTCCTGATGGTAATGGGGTTATAAATGCCGAAACTTTGATCGAAATGTGGGAACTAGTGGGGATAAGTTCGCCGAAAGAACTGATCCACGAGTTGGGTTTTAACGATAGGGAGATAAATATTGTTGAGTTGGCAACCGTACTAGAGAAAGAGATTAAAGGGATTCATGATTCGTCAAGGGTTGAAATGCAAAACCCCCACATTGCACTCTTGCACGCAAACTTGACACTTTACCAGTCGGAAATCAAGTGTTTGAAACACATTTTGGAACAAATGCATGCCGAGCGGGAAAAATTGAAATGTGATGTATTCGAGGCGAATAACCGGGCGAAATTACTGGCACAGGAAGTTGATGATAATCATATGAAAATGGAACGTAACACTCAGAAWCAAGTCAGGTTGATTGAACAAAGGCACTCCGATATACTAAAAGAGATAACACAGCAATATGCGAGTGATAAGGAGCACCTTTCCGCCCTGAACCAAACTCTAGAGGAGAAGATCAACACCCTTGAACAGGAAGTAAACAAACTAAAAAATGATCTAATCGTGGCTCAGAAATACTCATCCTCTTTGGAAAAGGAGAATCAGAATTTGTCGAGTCAAATTTCCGAATTGCAACAAGTGAAAAACTTGCTCTCGGATCAGATAAACTCTCTCGAGTGTGAGAAGCAAAAGTACGTGGAGATGGAGCAGGAACAAATCGAGCCTTTGTTGACGAAACTGTCGACTTTGCAGCTCGAGAATGCACAGTTGAGGGATAAGAATGACGAAATGGTCGCTGAAATTGAGAATTTAACGTGTCAGGTGTCGAGTATGCGAGCCAAAGTGGCGAGTACTCCGACTTATAACACCCTGGATCAGAGTATGGAGGAGAACGTTTCTGTTATTTGCGAAGGAGTCGGTTTGGGTGCGAAACGTAGGAGTGATTATTCGCCGACCAAGGACAGCGTACTCTTCGGTATAGGTGAGATTTTTTCGCTGGGATTAGTTAAATGCCGATAATTAATTATCGTGGATGGTTGAGAGTTCGAATTTTAATCGCGATAAAATCATGACATGCAGGTCATTTACAGTTATCATGTCGTAAATGAACAATGCGTTTGTACTTTCATCCGTTTAGTTGGATTTTTCGACCGGGTGATGTAAGTTGATATGGTGAGAGAATTGGGAAAGAGATTATTTCATTTCGGTGTTTTGGAACAGTGAGAGTTGAGTGTATTTTAAAGTTAAAAATTGTTGAGAATAAGGTAAAAGATTTTTTGATTTGTGTCCGGGAGAAATGTTTAAAGTGTTTACATGTAAAACATGTTTTAGAAAGCAATAGCATCTTTTTTGTCGGGTCTTTTTCTATTTTTAAGTGGCACTGGCAGTATCATACATGTGAAAACAACAACATACCTAATTAGTACACTTTTTTTATTTTGAATTGAGTTTTGAGAACGCTATTGAAGTAATTAATAAGATTATTTTTATTATTAACACTAAAATCTAGGTCAGGTGCATGGTTTTTCAAATTTTAGAGTGTTCCAAAATCAGGGACAGTGTTGAGGATAACAAAGTTTTGATTGGAATTAAAAAAAAGAGTGTTTTGAGGTAATCAAAGTTATTGGAATCTAATTTTTTGACACACTTAAATGTGACAAATAAATATCTACTTTATCTATATTTCTGTTTAGAGGTGTGTCTGTTGTAATTATTGCGATTTTATTACTGAATATGTTACACATAAAATACATGTGATAATCATTAAACGTTTGAAGTATTTAATTTAATTTATATTTCTCAAAAAGTTACTCTCATTTTATGATACTATGTATAAGCTTGTGTTGAAAAAGTTTAATTTTATAGGAGTATATTTTTAATGTGGGAAACACATTGAATTTTCAATTCAATTTCTCGAAATGTCTTGAATTTATAAAAAAATAATAATTTATTATTAGTGCCACTATTATGAAAGTGATTCAGTTTATGTTTGAAATAACACATTTGCAATATTTTTTTCATGTGAATAAAATACCAATAATAAATTGACAAAAATTAAAGCACTGTTAATTATTTAATTAAATGGTTCAAAAAAAAACACCTGATCTGACGTGCCCTTGCCTGAGTCACCTGTATATTTCATAGTTTACTTTTTCATTATTTATTTTTAATATTATGTGACTTCTGATTCTAGAATTAAGTTGGCAACATTGAATTTAGGTCACTTTTATGTATATTCTGTTTCTGTATTATTTAATGTTGCGGCTTACTTGATTTTCAACGAGGATTTAAAAGAATAAAGATTATGGCAATTTTATTAATTGAATACGTCGATATGTACTGCTTATCAATATTATTTAAAGTGATTGACTTTAGTTGCAGGTTTCTGGAACAGAATTCTTATGATTTTTCTATCCGGTTTTAAGAAAAACCGACCTTGATCTGACTAAATTTAGAAAATTCAACCAAGCAACTATTTTGTTGTTTGTTGAAGTACTTGATTGTGTGACATTTATGGAGCATTATCAGAGCAGTATCTGTGCCTAGTATTTTACCAAAAATGTGGAACCTGTGTTTTATTTTGTACAATTTGCGCGCTCTCACCTCGAGTTAATTAATATTTTAAGCTCTGCAATTGACATATTTACGACTTAATTAAAAAGTAAACCAAACGCGAATTAGTTGCAACACAATTAACTACTTATCTAATGAGATAACTCAATAAAAATCATGTTTACCAATCTCGTCAGGCGCTCTTTCCAGTAGTTTTTCTCAAAACGCCATCTGTTTCATATGCGGTCATTAATTTGTTAAGCAAATACGCCGACCACGTCCTGCAAGGACCTTCACACATCACGATGTTGTTTGCAGCCGACGGCAGTCCACGTCTAGGCAAGGTGCGAAAATTCCACAAGGAACGACCTGACCATTTGGACGTCGTACCTTTTACTTCGAATGAAAGCGGGTTCGAGGCCGAAATCGATGCTTTCGATAGTTCATTTTCCGGAAACGAGGAAGAAATCACCAGGTTGCAGGCCAAGGTTGCATTCCTCGAACAAATTCTCGCCCAACATTCGATACCAATACCCGGTGATAACGCGGTGGTAAGTCCAAGATAAAGGCCAGTGATTTTTCTACATGTAAGATTTAACTTTGTTGGGCTTGGTAGATTTTTATTTTTGTTATTTTATACTGTTTTAAATGGAGTGGTCGCACTATGAGCTTTGTTTTTATTGTTCTATGGAGAAGCTTGCGAATTCGTTTACGAAACCGATCAGTATTAAGTAATTTATTTTTTTTTTATTATGCTCTGGTGCTATCATTTCGGAGCTTCTCCATAATCACTCTCCTTTTATTTTTTTGTATGATTTTTAGTTAATAAATCTGCTTTTTAGCTTCATTTTGTTTTTTATTTATGGAGAAGCTCCCTCAAACGTTGCAATAATTTTTTAATGTTTGTTTTTATCCAATTATTAGGAAAATGCCACTTCTGACACAATAAATAGTCTTAAAGCAAGAGTACAAGAATTAGAGAAACTTTTTGGTGACTTAAGCGATGTTAGTAAAATGATAAATAAGAACGGCTTAAGTTGTGATAATTTGAAAAGTGTTGGTGAAAAACTTGAGATGATTTTGAGACAACGAAATGGCGAGAAAATATTTGTCGACGCTAACGTCGGGACTGAAACAGATTTTGTTTCATTTGAAACTAAGATAAAACAATATGAAGAAGAGAACGATATGTTGAAAACTAAGTGTTCCGAATTGGAAAATTGTGTCGATCTTCTCAAAAATGAATACGAAAAATGCGAAGATTACTGGCAGTCTAAATTGGAAGAAGAACGCCAAATCTTCGAACAGGAGCAAAGTCAAAGTAGTGAGAAACTCACCGATTTGATTAATAAAATGGCAGAGTATGAAGAACAGTTCGCTAATCAAGACAATAGATTACCCCCAATTGAAGAAACCTACAATTTGGAGAAACAATTCACCGATTTGGAGCAAGAATTTGAAGATTATAAAGTCCAGAGTGAGAATGAACTGTTCAAACGTGACGAAGAAATCTCTATTTTGAAACAAAAGTTGACCGAATTGGCTTTTAATCAAAAAGACAGTGTCGATATTGGGACTCAAGTCAACAGTTTCGACGAAAACTCCCGAATAAGCAACAAAATGAACACTCTTTCCTTATGTATGGTCGAGTCCACGAACCTATTTTCTTCGGATGCAATGCCAGTCCCGTGGTCCCCTGAGAAAAAACCTGAAATGGTTGACTCACTATGGAATAAAGAGTCAAAGAGTGACACTAACTCGACGCAAACCTCCCTGTCGTGGCAAAACGGTAGTGGGCAACCATCAACGTCAAACTCGTCAACTTTGGAGAAAAATTGCACGCCTTGTAGGCCCAAACGGACGAGGAAACACGACCGAAATAATTGTCTCTACAAGAAAAACAACCAGGAAATGAAGAAAAGTGACGATTTTCCCTCCAGACGGGAGGAGCAAGTCGTTACGTTACCTGTGAGTACAATTCATGGCTTGAACGGTCGCTTGCACCACCTGGAGCAGAGGTGCAGACAACTGCAAATGGTGCTAAAACAGCAGCATTTTTACACCGAGCAAGCCTTGCAACGTAAGTGTCGGGTTTTCAAGCTTACTAAAACGAGAATCTTTGAAAAAGCTTTTCAATGATTTTCGTTTCGGTAAACTACCACCAAAGTTTAGAGTTGTGTGTTTTTAGAATGTCGACAACATCACAAGAATGAGAAAACCGAATTGCAGTGCATTTTGAGGAGTCATCAGGAGAAGTTGGACCAGCAAGTGAGGATCTGCAATGATCAGTTGGAGAGACTCGCGAGGTCGGATATGTTAGTCAAGGAGTTGTATGTGGAGAATTCGTATCTGATTGCTAAAGTACAAAGACTAGAGCAGCAGTGCCATATTTTGGCACAGTGTAACTCGAATAGTAGTTCGGTGTAGTTGGAAGTCTATTTTTGCCTAATTGTAGAGATAGTTGACTATTTTTAAACTAAAATTTTTAAATTCGTGTGACTTTTTGTATATTTTGATTGATTGTTAAATACCTGACTAGAGTATTGTAAGAGTAATGTTATGGGTTGTTTATTCTTTTATATGATGTAATTTTGTTACATATCATTTATTTTTACTTATGTCCAAAGAATTTAACACGATAAGTATCTAGTTACTGTTACTGTTACTTAACTACTAATTTTTAAAGTGTCATATTATTGATAAATAAAGTAACGTCTTAATAAAATCACGCTGGACAATTAACGAAAATATATTTCATTCTACTTAAATATAAAACGATTACAAAAGATGTAAACACTTAATATCGAATGGGAAACCAAATCTAATTATTTAATGATTATTATCCTAGCTATTTACAACTAATTTTTGAACAATATGCTCAATGTCTTCTCACAAATACATCCCATTTACTAAGTAGTCAGCATCGTGGGCGTAGCTCTTGCCGCCTTTCCGCATCCGTCGCCGAACTCGCAGCCGACAGCCAATCAAAAGTGCCATTACGCAAGTGATAATTAAGCCTAGAGTTAGTGATAAGACGGCACCGCTTGCCGTTTCCGGGACCCCATCTTCGGCAGACCCGTCCATTTTGTAAGCCACGACGTCAGGGTAGTGCTCGGTTTTGGCCTGTTTGTGTTTTTCGATTTTTATTTTGAGTTCTTTCGTCGTCTCTTTGGAATGCTTCAACTCGTGGGCCATTTTTTCTTGCTCGTGAATTGGGTTTTCTAATAAGAATAGAGACAAATTTGGAGTCACAAGTATAAAAATATCTTACCTTTATTTTCCGAATGCCCCGGTGAGGTGGTTTTATAAGCGGCATTTTTGGGAGGCTCTGAAATAATAATGTTGTAGGTATTGCGTTTACGTTGCTTTGATTTTTTACCGTTTTGGATGCTTTCCGGATGCCAGTCTTTATTTCCGGTTTCTTGCTGGTATTGGTATTGCTCTTCCGGGCCGCTGCCCCAATTTTTCTGCTGAATGGGTTGCCTGTAATTGTCATAATAACTGCCAATTTTCGGATTGTACTGATCCCCATATTGCATTTGACTGAAATTAATTTTTTCATCAATATGAAAAATACAGAATCGGTGTCAGTTATTTAGGAAGAAAGCTATCCAAGTGTAATTAATTTTATGTACAAATTTTTTCTTATAGATGGACAGAATGTTTGTTGCGTTGTTTTTAAGCTAATTTCTATGTGCATTTGACTAAAGCAAGTTCGCTCAATTAAGAATATGGAAATTTTTGTTACACGTTTATTCTCATTTAAGCGAACTTTTGGATGTAAGAAATGTGAGTCAGAAGCTAGGAAAGTAACTATTTTTTTCGTGCAAAGTGCTTTTTCTATTCTAATTTGGATAGCCGTCTCACCCTGCGCCCGAGTATCCCAGAGCGCGGTGCAAATACTGCATCGCTCCCTTATATTTATTATACCTGATTTCTTGGCCATCAGGCACTTGCAAGCCGGTCTCCTTGTGATTGAAAATGTGGCTGTTTTTATCTGAAAATTATATGAAAGTATTTCAAAAAATCGCTATTCAAAGCGGATAACGCTTTCAGTTATATGAAAAAATGTCAAAATTTCTAAAATAAAAAAGGTCAAAATTTCTAATATAGGGAG